TGGGAAGATCTTTGAAAGACTAATATTAGCCCGCCTAAGATCCCTTATGGACACTAAAGGCCTCCCCATCCCAGAACAGTTTGGATTCAGAGCCAAACATTCATGTACCCACCAAGTGCACCGCATCACGGAGCACATTCTAGCCAAACGACAACGCGGGCTCAACACCGGAGCACTCTTCCTGGACGTAGCAAAGGCGTTCGACAAAGTCTGGCACAACGGGCTCGTATACAAGTTATACGGGTACGGAGTGCCCGACCGTCTCGTATGCATAATACGAGACTTCCTGAGTAATCGGACCTTTCGCTATCGCGTCGAGGGCGTGCATTCGTCAACGCATGCCGTTCGAGCCGGGGTGCCCCAAGGGTCAGTGTTGGGCCCAGTCCTATTTACGATCTACACCAATGACATACCGCGTGTCAAAGATGTAGAATTTGCCCTCTTTGCTGACGACACCTGTCTCTATACTACAGGCAGAACACCCGAAACGATCCATCGACGCCTTCAAACCGCAGCCATCACCATCGGTGACTGGTTTCGGCATTGGAGGATCTAGATCAATCCCGCTAAAAGCGCGGCCGTCCTTTTCTCACATAAAAATTTAACTAACCCACCACCTCCCGTTAAGCTCATGGATAGTCCGGTACCATGGTTGAACAAAGTCAAATACTTAGGTGTCGTCCTCGACCTCCCAACTTAAATTCAACCAGCACGTGACTCGGGTCAGGAACCGGGCGGCCTTCGTACTCAGCCGCCTCCATCCGCTCCTCAACAAAAATTCAAAAATGTCCCTTCGGAACAAGGTGACTTTATATAAGGCAGTAGTTCGCCCTATTATGACATACGCGAGTCCGGTATTCGCACATATCGCCCCGAAACAAATACACCGTCTTCAGGTCATCCAAAATCGGTTCATGCGCAGAGCCACGGGAGCACCCTGGTTCATGCGCAACATTGACCTACATGTCGATTTAGAGCTGCCCACCATCGCTCAATTCCTGAAGTCGGCGTCGCGCCGATACTTTGATTCCGCCGCCGCGCACCCCAACCCGTTAATCGTAGGAGCCGCCTCCTACAGACCCACGCCGCTAGGTACTTTCCGCCGCACTCACCGTAGACCGCGACACGTTCTCGACCTCCCTGACGATGAGACGACTATCGCCATCGAAAGGATCAATAAATTACGTAAACACACCAACACACACCGCACTCGCCGGCGAGTGCGGCAAACATATACTAGGTTCCGCCACGTACCTGGCAGGTTCTCTCCTATTAATGATAGAAGCGTTGCTGGAGTTTCTTCCGCCGCTTCTTCTCCCAGCGCCAACGCCAACCACTTCGTAAAAAGTGGTAGTAACGATATCTCTAGAGATCCCCCCAGTCAGTTAACAGCTACCGATCGAGCCGAGGTCCGGCCCTCTCGGGCACCCTCGATACGGAATGCTAAACGCGTGCTGAGTGACAGCCCAAGCCGAGGTCCCCTCTCGGGGACCCTTGAGCCTGATCACTCCATGGAGCGTCCGCCAAAGCGCCCTAAGAGCTTGGCGGCCTCCCAAACCGGTGAAACTAATAGCGTGACGGCCCGAGCCGAGGTTCCTTCGGGAGCCCTCGAGCTTAGTCACCATAACGCGTAATAATAAATACGCGAGGTTCAGGCTAGGCGCCTCGAGCGCCCGGCCCCCTCAAGTCCGTCGGATCTGTAAAGGCCCCTAAGGCCAACAGTGGCTCTTCCAGCCAAAAAAAAAAAAAAAAAATCTAATATTCCAGAATTAAATAAATATAATATTTATATAACAAAATTGTACTCCATAGTAAAATAGAAAATAGGATTTTACTAATTGTAAGGACTAAAAAATGGCATGGGTCGAACTTTTATTAAAAAGGATATGCCGTGAAATTCACGATATTAGGTACCGTAGCAACCAAGCATGATGAAGCTGATTGCTTTGCTTCGCAAACAACTTTCATATCGCATTGGTCACTTCAACAGTATCATCACATCTCGACAGAACACAACAAACCTCATCAAATTATTTCGATCCTCTGCGTCAATAAACATAATTAAAACAGTCTATTTAGCATAAAATTACGTCAATCTGTTAACTTTAGGCGAAGGTAGTGTACCTTAGGTACGTCCGTCACGTCGCCCTTTTTGACATTGTGAAATATTTTAAAAATAGTCTTCTGCAGGGTCGCTAGGTTTCTGTAAGGCTTATATTATTGATTATATTAGCAATTGAAAAAGAAGATAATTCTAATTAACACTTGAGGATATTTCATGTACATGATAGATATATATATATAGCGTGTCTTTACCATCGCGATAATAAATGAACACACATATAGAGGATAACTCTTCAAAATTTTATTAAACATTTTCTTTCTTTAAACATCAATATTTACAGAGTTTTATAAAATGAAATAATGTTGTAATCGTTAAAAAAAATTAATTTTTAAAATATCCTAAGACTGGTTGATAAAATATAACAGGGTCAGCGACACTTCGCTACAGCACGATAGGAAATAGCGTAATCTTATCGGACTTTACGACTTACGTCTCAACAAAAAATCGCCACAAAAAAGTTCTCAAAATTTATTTTATACTAACTACTATTATCACGACTACTTATATGCTAATATTGACTGTTATAATTATCTAATCGAACCCTGAAAAGTATAGTATATTCATAAATATTTACGAAGAAATAAGTGAAAATTATCATCATCATCATTTCAGCCTGTTTGAGTCCACTGCTGAATATAGGCCTCCCCCACGGACTGCCATGTAGTATGATTTTGAGTCACCTGCATGCTTCGACTGTGCGGATCAGTTGCAAATGTATCACTCCACCTATTGATAATAAAACTCGTTAATTATCTCCTTATAAAATAGTACCTGGAGCAGGTTTTTTTTTGGTAAATCGTGTATTTTGGAAATAAAAAAATAAAAATAAAGAAAGCAATTATCTGGTATACAAAAAAAAGGAAACGGACTTGGACCACGGCTTTCTGTTTCGGGGCCGCCCGATTACCGACCGATATTATAACATTTTTTTTTTTGGCGAAATTTACCTACATATTCGAATGATATTTTTCATTCCCTGAAAACAGGGATAAAGGGACATTATCTAAAAATAAAACCTAGTTAGATTGTTTTTTCGCCCCCGAATCAATGCACATACAAAATTTCATGACAATCGATGGAGCCGAGATTCCGATTATATATATATATATATATAGTTGTAATGACAGTTGTAATGATAAGGATTGTTACGATTACGAGTTTGTAATGATGCACATGATGTTATGTTTAGGGAACAATTGTGTCACTTTAACATTGGTGCCGAAAAGCAGAGTCGTCGCACCGGTAGGGTAGTAGTAGTAAGGACTAAAGCGCTATGGAGAGGATTGCTGTGCAAGTCGTTTCAATAAAGTGAACATTTAACTCTAACCCCCAGCTGGTAAAAATATTATCCATTGGTTTAGGATTTTTTTACTTCAAACAACTATTGAGTTTCGTTGTAAAATTATCAAGTTGATAAATCCCACCGAAATAATAACTATCTGACAACTATTAAAAGTATATTTTAACAATTGTTTCTAAACATCTTGACGAAATGTCACGAAATACGTTTGAGAGTCCGAGAAAAATATAGTTTACTTCCTTATGTAACAGAAAAAATTTGAAATCGCTAAAACATTATCTTCGATTTCAAAGTTTCATTCATGTCAAGCGCAATAATTGTCAACCGCAGCCACTCAGCCCTTCTGGAATTATAATAATACCATTAACATATTTCCGATCAACAATGAGATCAAGAAGTTCATATTTATAAAGAGCCCGTAATGACAGTATTTAAATAACAATTTTTTATTTGAAATACCGTGTACCGATGAAATTTTATATTACGAGTACAAATAAAGAGCAAGGTAATGTGGCGAATAAAGATAATCAGGTGTAATGGATACTTACTGGTAACCGTAGTCAATGTTTATTGTTGTGTATTTTTTAGTATACATCTTTATATATATTTAAATATTCTTATATAAATTTAATATATGATTTATATCCAATTAGAATATTATTTTCATATATATTCTCTTTAATTAAAATTTTATTATTCTTGCATCATTTGCTGCACCTACCATAAACTCTCACCACTTCCTGGGTTGACTGGTAGAGAATGCCTTCGGGCATTGCGTCCGCCCTTTGTTACCTTGTTTTACTGAAGGTTGGCAATAAAGATTAAATTAAAATAAATAAATATTTTCGAATTTATTTCTCCTCATCCACTCAAACATAGTAAAGACATAACAAAAGGTAGCTAAATAACAATAAAAGCAGATAGATAATTTTAACTTCAGTATGAATAAGTAGTATTATTATATAACTCTATTTTCCTGGTTTATCATACTTTTTATTTAGTAAACTAAAAATTTTACTTCTGCAACGTATTGCCTAATTTATAAAAGAAAATATTGTATTTACATACTTACGCACGTAACAAGTAATACTTTTTTAGCGTAACAAAAGGAAAACAACTAAAATCGTTATCGCCTATGCCAGTATTCTTTATTTGTCAAAAGATATTAAATATTTTAAGTATAACGGTTTGATAAAATTACTTTGAATTATAGAGAAATATTAAAAAGCTGTTATTGGTTGCCATGGTAATGAAGTGAAGTTGGTCGCTTTGCCCCCAAATTGAACATGTCGCTTTTTGTCCGTTGGTGTGCGTATGGTAAAAACTTTACTCTTATATTTTTTCCAAACGCAAAAGAGTAGTATTACTTGAAAAAAAAAAACTATTTTCTATCTGAAAAGGCGATAAACGAGCAGGCCTTTCACCTGATAGATGAAGTGATTACAACCGCCTATGGACATGTACAAGCGTCCAATCCGTGGAGTTGCAGACGCGTTGCCAATCTATAAAAATGGGAATATTAGTGACTTCACTCACCAGAAGTAATGCAGACGTATAATGCTGCAATACTTTAAGATGGCCCCAAGGAGGGACAAACCTGCTAATTCTTGCATGTTGTCGTCTGCCCCGACCACAGTCTTTATTCGTTTGGATAAAATACGTATCACTAGGTTTACCTATCTACTACCTTCAAAATAAAGACTTCAAAATAATGTAACGCAGTTGTGAAACGATAAACATTTTTCAGAGATTTTGTTAAAAACCGTGAATGTATATATGTATGAAACCGTTTATAAATATACTCGCGTTCCAAAAAAGTAATTTTGAGGGATGTTTAAAGTAAACACAAATGTCAGTGAGAAGTATTAAGGGTTTTCCCTTATATTAATCGCATTTAGTCTAGGAAAGTCAGTAGTTGTAACATTTTACATTTACAACTGTGGTAAGGCCACTCAACAGCTTCGGCTTTTGCACGAATCCGGGAAAGTAGCACGACTTCACAGAAGACGTGACGTGGAAGTGTCTTACTTCTACGTTTCGTATGTGTAGTAAGGTAGCCGGGGCACGGCTTATCAAAAGGTAGCCACGCACCTGCAACCCTACGGATGTCGAAAATGTCAATGGGCGATGGCCATCACTTGCCACCATCTCACATAAAAAATGTAATAATATTTTACTTAGGAGATTTTTCTGTTTATACCTAAATATGGCTAAACTCATATGAATGATACTTAACAGTAGCTGCTTCTAAAGTCGCATTTATGCTCACGTTCCAATCACAGTCTTACAGAAAACCGTTATAAAGTTGAAGAGCGTGGTAGAGAAGTGGGGTAACATTCAAAGGGGTGGCCGCTTTGAAGGTGCCAACCTTTACAAAACAACAAAAGGAAGTTGGAAGTTTATTAGTTGTGGATCAGTTTAAATCATTTTCTAACATTTATTGGTTAAACTTAGACTTTATACTATACTGAACACTGAATTTTAAGAATTGCATAAATTCATGCGAAGAATAACATGTTCCGCGAAATATCTATCACATTCGCGAGATAAAGAAGACAGGCGGGATCATGACAGCAACTTAAAAGGTAAACATGCACCAGGGTTATCAACAACGATTCGTATAATTGCTTTACAGTGCTTTCTCAATATCATTACTTGTTCTTCTATTAGGCCTGTCAGTACAATTGAAGCAACGTTGTCAAGTAAGTGCAGATTTAACATATTTTGTGCTTGTGAATCATTAAAAATATTAAGTAAAACTAAAATCTTCAAGTCATAATGCTAACGTAATTTTCTATAAAGTTATGTAGGGTATATATATTGTACATTTAACAGATAATCCAACCCATTTTTGGTTACTGAATTTCACAAAACATAAAGTAATGCTTATTCATCGTGGATACTTAAACCCGTGATTTGTTACGCACATTCGTAAATGTACGTATTTCGATTTCGGCACGCATTATTGCTTGTTTTCCGTTTAGTTGATCCATATAGGGATTCCCAATTCCCAAATTAATCTTTTCCAATTCTGATGCGTGTGGAATTGAATATAAATGGACCTTTAGGGTCATTAAGGTTAAATTGCATAGCAGAGGAATTGTTATTTATTTATATGTATCTACATATATTCTTTCAAATGCTAATAGCGTTGCTTTTGTGTTTCCTAATCAATTAACAATATACATACGTGAACTTTTTGTTATTCTAGCTTCTTTTCTCAATTTTATTTTTATTTTAAGCATGACTTAAAAGAAAGAACTCATATAAGTACAAATTTTGAAAGCAATTTCATAATACGATATTTTGCCCAGTTATAGCCATAAAAGAGACACATTAATTTAATATCAGTTATATAGTCACGTTATATTACGAATAAGTGGTATTTACATTATAAATATATATATATTATATTATATTACATTTATATATATTATGTATATTCATAAAACTAAGAAGAAAAATGTTCCTATGTCTAAATAATATTTTCAGAAAAAGAAGCAACAATATTCTTATTTCTTTTAAAAAAATGTTTTAATGATTCTCTGCGGCCCACCTTATAAACCGCTGGAATAGCTCTATTTTAGGGGATGAGAAGGATCGCGTTTCCGTAGTAGAAAGCCGTAAGACATTAAACTGTGGAAATAGATAAAATATACAAAGCTAGTATCTATATCAGTCTACTGTCTTATTTTTTTAAACCATAAAAGCTGTTGAGCTAAGTCCACTCGATAGCTTATTAACATCGGGGCCCCATTGCAGTTTGACATCAATAGTTATGGCAAGGAAGTACAGTCAAGTCACAAGGAGCGCTTCCCCATCTTAAAGTACATCAGTTGTTTGCTTGTTTTACATTGGTAATTGTAGATTTAATACATTTAGTCTTTTTGTTTTATTATTTAACAATAAGGTCTGAGCACTACAGTGGAGAGAGCGTATTTACATCGTCATAATTTAAAGAATACCGTTTTACTTTAAAAACTAAAGAAATATCAGCAAACAATACAACCTCACGATTTTAATTAACGGGAAGAGGCAGTTCATTTATGTACCAGACTTAAATGCCGAAATGACTTTACTATGTTTCATGAGAAATTCAGCACGTTTAAATACAGCTGCTACGTAAGGTGATATAACATCATTAATAGAACCAATCACCTTGACAGAAATCCTCCATAGGCGGGCAGTTCTTTGAACACCTAAGATATTATTACACTGAAATGTTTAATAATATCTTTCTTGTTTACAGTAGAAAATTTAAACTATAAATTTTCTACATTTCATAAATTTTTCTTAAGTACTGACTCTCACTTTCGGGGAAGAGACTTAAAATAAAATTCACGCCAGTACCGGAATTTAAAGTATGGTTGCTCGAGTATATCGGATAAAAATATTTATAGTAACAAAAACAAAATCAACTTTAAATATTTCTTTCGCTATATCTATTTGTTTTTGAGGAGTTGCCTGATTTTCCTTCGTAGTCGTCACTAGGGAACTAAACCGAACCCAATGTAAAAATAATTTTTGAAATCAGTTCATAAATGAACTGATTTCAAAAATAGTCGGTTGAAAAATGAATAAGGTATATAAATATAAATAAATACTTTTTTAACGTTCCGTGATCCACTATAAAGATCATAGGCTCATGTAAGCGACTCATGTAATGCAAATACTACTCACTCACTGACTTTTTGAATCGATTGTGTTGAAGAAGGTATAGAAATAATATTCCAATGATTGACTTCATTGATTATTAACCAATAAAAAAGCTTGTTTTAATAAACTATAACAATAAATTAACTATAAATTAAAACAAAAAATTAAAAAGTAAAGTAACACCCTAAGTAACTAAAGTAAGTAAAATTATATGAGGACATAATTCACGACGCGTCCCCACTGCGGATTGAGGATATACCTTCTAAATATATTTTTTGTCATTGTTTCCAAATTTTGGTTAAAAATTAACAATTTCATTGGTGCTGACTTGGGGATTTGGACTCATATTGCAGAAGTAGAATTAGAAGGGAACCTGGCGCTGAGTGCTGAGCAGGGTTTAATAATTTATATATATATTTTTTTTGTTTTTGTGAGCACATAAACCTAATCGCTTATTTTCAGTATGAAGGCTGTGTTCGTCCTAGCTGTCCTCTTGTGCGCTTTGGCCTTGACCCTTGGCGACCTTGTCTGCGGCACCAATTACTGCAAGCAGCACCCTTGCACCAACAGCTTGGCTCGCAGCAGCTGCCGCACGCCTTCAGTCTACCGTGCTAGCCACGCCGGCAAATGCGCCTGCTGTCCAGCTTGCGTTACTTTCTTAGGTATATATATATATGTATATATATCTACAAACCAATTATCTATTGTTGTCCTTCTTGCTGTTTTTTTTACAAAAAGTGCATTAACCTTACAGGGTCAAAGTTTGTTTGTTTTTAAGTATACTTTTTCTGTGTACTGAAAGTATGATTGAAAACATTTGGCCCAAGGGATAAAAGTTATTATTAATGAAATATGCAGGTTTCCTCACGATGTTTTCCTTCACCGTCAAGCACGTTTAAAATCAGCACTTAAACCTGCATTGAAATTAAAAGTTGTATTGCTCGATTATTTTGAATTAAAAGCGAGCGTTCGGATACTAAGCTATATTGCACATAGTTGACATTAGATTAGAATAATTTAAACTTTTATTCCATACATCTTAATTTTGTACTGTATGAGTTATTTTAACAAATCAAAATCCCACGCAAAAAAAACTAAAACATTTTGTTAAAATTTATTATTACAAGAAATGTTTAAATATCTATATACTAGAATTCCGTATCTAAGATATCATTTCATTATAGATGAAGGACGACCATGCAAGACCTATAGCAAGGAGCTGGGAGAGACGCCATCAGCAATATGCCGTGAGCCACTCAAGTGCTTGACTGGCGTTTGCACCAAAGTTCCTCCTCGTGGTTAAATTACTCTGAATAAAATAATAATCAACTCTTATGATAACTGTTAAGATGAATAAGAATTAACAATACTCATGTCTATCATTTCTCGTCAATAAACTCAAACATACAACGAAACCAATTTGAGAATATGTGGATTTTGTAAACTTTGTTACATGTACAATGTTTGGAATCAATGTTTCTATGATATTGTCTAAATACAAGTAGCTCAGCAACAATTCATCGCTCTTAATATTCCGAACACGGAATATGAATTAATGCTGCGTTCTACTGCAGACGGTATTTTAAGCAAATAGTAGTTTTGTGTTTGCTTAAATACATTTTTAAGTGGTTATGAATTTCCTTTATAAATAATGGTCAAAGTAATGAAATACTTAAGGGGTAAAGAAAAAAAAAGTATAAACAAATGTTTTTGACATAAACAGTTGTAACTAAAGATGCAGTTATCGATGAAGGAAATCGCGTTTCTTATTATGATTTTATTTAGATAAAGCTAATGGTTTCTTGTATTGATACGATTATCAAAGTTTCTTGAAATAATTCCTTAGGCATCGTATCTGAAATGTCGTAAGTGGTGCTTGTTTTCAGGAAATCTGACATCAAAGCACAATTGCGAGACAAGATTATTATATCTGACGTTATTGTAGTAAATATCACTGTTATGTTTTATGCAATATCCACTTAGTGCCTTAACTATGGACATCCGAGCGCTTAGAGGCACGTCCTCAGCTGAACAGACGTAGGCGGCAAAAGAATAATAAAATCTCATAAACAGTTTATGGTCTCACTGTTATTACGCCTTATTACAAACCATATTTTAGGTGTATTTCCGGGCTTTTTCTGTTAAATATTATTAACAAATATTTGGCATGACAATCACATATTTTCTAAAACGGCAAATCTGGGAGGACTCCCATAATCTTACATCAATTGAAACCGAATGGTACTCCTAATACAGTTTGATTTATAGCTGGAAATAAATTCGATTTTATATTTATCTATCAATCTATAACTAAAATGAAAATAAATTATAATTCCTACATGGAAGGAACGTTTTGAACTCTTTACAATAATGATGCTTTATTCTTTATGACTTGTTCGTGCAGCTGCTAAGCTAAGCTTAAGCTTTGGAGTCAGAATTCGATTCGCACACGGGACAAGGATTTGTGCAACCGACATAATATAATTGTTCCGGATCCGTTATTCACAAAGAGTTCCGAGTTCCGGATTTCATTTATTGACAAAGAGTATTGAAGATAGGTTATTTGAAGTTAGAAGGAGTTAGACGTAAAAAATCTACCCAATACCATTAACAACCCATGATCCCATGATGTACTGATACTGATCCCACAAAGATGGATGAGAGAAGTTTTATTTTTTAATCTTTGGAACAACAGTTTTTTAAGTAGTTTTAAAACAACATTAAAGTCAGCAATGGATTGAAAATCACAATATGCAGCACAAAACATGAAGCCATGATGAGAAATGGAAGTTGCTATGCGCTGCTACGACCGATGCTGTACATATCATAATTATATACCTACAAAAGCGGAGTTTAGTGTGAAACTCGCTTTAGCTTCAGCAACACTAACCTCTAATGGCAAAGGTCGAGCGAGCGCTCGACGCTCTTTGTTACCTGGTTCTCTTTATTCGCCTTTCTCCTTGAATATTTCACAAGGCATTTTTAATAACTCGCTTTAAGATTCATGCATTGGCAATGTAATACTTTAGTATTTAACTATACCATGGAAGAGGTAGTAGCAAAGTATTTTATTAGGTGCCATAAAGGGCGACATCAAATGAAGGAAAACCTAGGCAGTATTGTCGTTGTGATCAATTTTACGGGATATGGTATACGATAATAAATGGACATAAAGAAGCCGTAAAATTGTATTGACAATAAATCTGACACTTTTCTCAGGTTCAAACCTTATCATCATCATCATCATTTCAGCCTGTTTGAGTCCACTGCTGAACATAGGCCTCCCCCATAGACTGCCACGAAGTACGATCCTGAGCCACCTGCATCCATCGACTTCCCGCACATTTGCACAGGTCGTCACTCCATCTAGTGGGGGGTCGTCCTACACTGCGATGGCCAGTACGAGGCTGCCACTCGAAACCTTTCTTCCCCAACGGTTATCGGTTCTACGAGCTATATGGCCGGCCCATCGCCACTTCAGCTTGCTAATCCTCTGAGCTATATCGGTTATCTTAGTTCTACTGCGGATGTCTTCGTTACGAACTCTATCACGCAGAGAAATACCGAGCATAGCCCGCTCCATAGCTCGCTGAGCGACTTTGAGCTTCCTCATACGGCCAGCAGTGAAGGACCATGTCTCGGTTCCGTAGGTCATCACAAACCTTATGTGTATTATTATTATTTTATCAATCTAGGGCACGTTTAAAACCGTACAATATTGTTATTATATACCAGACATACCCATATTTAATTAAATAGTACTAAGCAGAATTTTATGCATGTATATTTTCGCTTTATTTTCCAACTGGGTTAAAAGATATTTTAGTAAAGAAATCAAGATCATGTCAAAATTTTCTTCTTCGAGATAACTAAACTCTGGACTACAACATAGTCATAATAACTTGTATAGGTATATTTTTAGTTCACGTTTATAACCATAGCAGCTGACAACAATGAGTTTTTTTTAATATGTTCATGTACACAGTGTAGGCAAAATATTTATCGACTAGGGGTGCATGCACTGCACACACGAACGCAAATGCAACCTTTTATCACTTTTAATGACTACTAATTCCAACTTGATTTGAAAAAATCTTTTTCCACTTTGGCTTTTAATGCATGTTTATCGATGACATCGTTGAAATCCAAATTAACAAAATGATCAAACAAGACATACTCAATATCCTAATTATTCAATAGAATAGAAAGATTAAGTTTAAATTGAAATTCGATCCTTCCCATACTGCATATCTCGCTTTCCTTGATATTATAATTTAAAGAAGATCAATTAAGTTGACTCTCCTTCAGAATAAATGAGTTTGATATGAATCGAAGCAAAGGACAACTTTTTGTTTGAGTAATCGCTTTCCCCCTTGCCAATTAATAATTTAAAGAAACTTTGCTTTGCTTTGCATATAGTTATTTTAATACTTTAATTGAAAATGATATTATGAGCTTTGATTCTGAGCTGGCGATAAAAAACTTTTCTCTCTCAGATACACTGACACGAAAATGTGAAGACGTTTTTGATTAGTACAGCGTGAAAGTTGTAAAGTAACAGCCTATACATATTCCACTGCTGGAAAAAGGCCTCCTCTGTACAGAGGGTATCAGGGCATAGTCCACCACGCGACCCTACTGCGGATTGGCGGACTTCACATATCTTTAGAATAAAGTAAATAGTTATATTATTTAGAAAATATGCAGGTTTTCTCATTTCTTACGCAGGTTTTCTCATTATTCACATATCTTTAGAATAAAGTAAATAGTTATATTATTTAGAAAATATGCATGTTTGCCTTCACCGCTGAGTAGTGATAAGTCAGCACGTAAAATTAACAATTTCATTAGTGTCATCACCAGGGATCGAACTTAGGCTGCTCGAGTATATAAAATTAAAGACACAGCGCTACCACGGCCATTAATTTTACTACAGCGTGATAGGCAGTAATTATATAATAACTGCATATATATATTTATATATATATATATATATATATATATATAACTGAAATAGTAACGATTGTAGCTGTTTCTGAGGGCAAATTAGGAACTTTTAAAAAAATCGGCCAAGTGCGAGACGGAGCCCCACTTAAATATTTTTTATTCTATTTTTTTAGTATTTTGTTATAGTGGCAACAGAAATACATCATCTATGAAAATTTCAACTGTCTAACTGTCACTGTTCATGAGATACAGCCTGGTGACGGACGAACAGACGGACAGACAGACAGACAGCGGACTCTTAGTAATAGAGTTTCGTTTCAACTTTTGGATATGGAACCCTAAATATGTACTCAAAGGTACAATCACTTCCAAAGATGTCTCCTGATACTGTTGTGACCACGCAACAGCTTTTTGTTGCTGCACGAATGGAACGGCCGGGGAAGTACCACGGCCTCACAGAAGACTGGCGTGATCTGGAACTATTAAACATTTGCGTTGCCTCTGATGAATGAGGTAGCCGGGGCCCTGCATCTGCAGGCCATCGGATGTTGTAGATTTCTATGGGCGGCAGTATTTAATTTACATCAGGTGAACCGCCTGCTCGCGTGAAAACTTTTCACATAATAAAAGCCAATCCGCAAAGCTTCCAATGCACGAGATTTGCCTGACAAACGAAGAATCCGGCTGTTGCGGTATGTATAAAACGATAACTTAATATCTAGTGTCAGCTTAAGCTAATATTCTATCATAAGTTCATAACAGTTTTATTCTGGTGGGTTTTGTCCCTTTAAAATATCACGAAGCTGAAGTACAAAGGACAGTTGTTTTCCATCGGTATGAATACAATTCTGAATTGGGAACAACGGTACTATAATAAATAATATTTATTGTCATAACGATTTCTGGTGTTTACACTAATGCTACACATTGTAAAACAAAATGAAAATGCCATTTTTTTATTTTAATATTACATCAGTTATCGCATTCTGAGGTCAAAGAGGTTCTAAATTCAATAAATTTTTGTACGAGTAAAATATAACTGGCATAAATAAAACTAGTTAGGAATGATAACGAAAAATGATATTAAGTTTATTAATAAAAATAAAAATAACGCGTTAGACATAGGCAGGAAAAGATAACAGGAAAGTAAAACATTTATCGCCTTGCTGATAAACAATCGAATGATAGTATCCTGTTTTATCATAAAAATACTTGGGCTTTTATAATCACCAAAACAGCTGGGTCGACTGATATTCATTACCCGTTACAATTGCACCATTGATAAAGAAAGCAATGCAATTACATTAGAGAGAACAGTAATGTAAAACTAAAACTATTGTGTTCGCTCGCGTTAGCAAACAAGTGGCTTTATAATAATCAATTGCCCTTTGACGTCTCACAGTGACTACGACAAATACGTCTATTACTTATTTAAACTACCCGCATGTTATGGCTAATTAGGTCAATTACAGTGATGTTTACTCAGTAGAAAATACAAATAGCTTAAGATACGTAAACAAGTGCCAGTTCAAGTGTTTTATTTTGTTAAAAACTTTCCGCTTAGTTATTTAATGAGTGAAGTGCCGCAGTGCTCTTGGGAAGAGAGTAAATTTATCAAATTTTGTATTTAATTTATTATCTTGTGTGAAAGGTTAGTAAGATAGAAGACAAAGTTATAAATTATTTATTTATACAGTTATTATTTGAATCTGTTGTAATTAAGTCGTCCAAACATTCATGTAAAATAATGTAGTAAGTAGATGATTTTGTCGTTATATATTTTGAATCTACTCCTAAATTTTAAGTAAAGGCAGTGAGTAAAAATATTTCTTTTATAATTGAAATTTATGAATTGTACTCTAATTATAAATTGATTTAAAAATATGTAATATTTCTTTTCGTTAAATAAATTCTTACATAAAATTGATGTAACGAGCCTCAATATAATGATTTTCTCGATTTAACGATTTTTTCATAATCCCCTAGAACTGGCTATAAGAACTAATGCAAAATATATTTATCAAATCCTTTTTATAACGAATTTTGAATAATTGCAGTATATAGCCCTCCTATAGTATAATTATCCTATAGTATAAGTATAATTGTCTATTACATTAATTTTTTTCAGAAAGATGATCGAAACGGAGACAGACGTTCTGCGAAGACGAAGGAAAGAAGTTACTTTACAAAATGGGTTCGCAAAATATGAAGAAGACAAAAAACCAAATCCGGAATTTATGCATCGTGATTCTCCTTTAACAGTTCTAATCGAGAGCTCTCTTCACATAAGAGCGATTTATCACATTTTTGTGGTTATTCTACTGGTTCTGCTATGTGACACCGTTATATATGACTTCATAGAACGTGGAAAGCAAGTAAAATAATATTTCACTGTAAAAACTTCACTGTAGAAAGTATAAAACTGCGGAATTTTTAAATTTTTAGATGTACATTTTTTTTGTGAAAAATTTTGCTAAGTGAGCAGGCCGTTCGCTTGATGTTAAGTGGTTACTGCCGGCCATAGACATCAACAACCATTAAAATCTCCGTTTACCTCACATGCTAGAGAAAATGCGTCGGTATAATACTTAAACTTCACTATAGTCTTCTATGAGGCTGTGGTACTTCCCCGGATAAACCTGTAAACAATGGTCTTAACACAGTAAAAATACATGTATTTATTTTATAACTTCTCATACATAGTTTTATACCATCATAATATAATACCTTCTCGATTTTAATCACAACGAAAATATAATTGATGTCTTTGATTACAATATTTTTGATAAGAGTACTGTCGCCTTTACTTTACTTATTACATTTTGACGTCCGTTGTAACGTCAAAATATTATTTGAATGCCATAACAAGAACACCGACGATAAGATTCGGTGTTAGGGACATTCCGGAATTTCGCATGAATGAGAATCGAACTGGGAGTCTCAAGACTATTAACTATTCTCCTAACTCTTCGTAGAGTATCAAAATTTTTGTTGAAAATATTATGTCGACAAAATATTTATATTTTTCATTCCAGACATCTTTCATCAGCATTATTTTCTCAGCATCTTTCTTTCATTCTATTTATTACAGAGAAAGTTTTCGGGAAATTCTTTTAAAAAATATATTTTGTTTTAATTAACAGTAAATGAAAATCGGAAATGAAGCGACCTTAAAAATGTGTTTCAATTAGGATAAACATTGGTGCGACGTCGATAATTCATGGATTTGGAGATATACGGCGCGGGGCGAAGATCTGGCTGTGGGAGCTCGCAATCGCGCTCGCTTTTTATCCGGGATTAAGAATATACGCTGCAGCGAAGAAGCTTTTTAAAAATTTTCCAGGTGATGTAGAAAAATCGATACTTCACGTAACGTATCCGAACCACTAAATCAAGAAATCAGTTCAGATATTTCTCTGAAAAAATTAACTTAATTTAATTCAGATAGAATAATTCTAATTTCGCCAACTTTACTACACACTACAACACCCATTGTTCTAAATTAAAATATCGGAGTTTAAAGTTATAAACACTGATAGAATATTATTTTTCCATTTCAAAAACAACCCACCATTCAATTTGATACAGAAAACATCAACGTTTGAAATCATTGATGTGAGCGTAAAGACTTTTACAACTTGCTTTATACTGATGACGCATTAAATAATACTGTAAGACTGGTTTCGTTCACAGTCAATCTGCACTTCTAAAAAGTAAAATTATACATTATGTCATTTATTTATTTATTTAAAAACTATGTACAATAACGTCCAATGGCGGACTTAACACCATTAGGTGTTCTCTACCAGTCAACCGACAAATAAGCAGAGAGAATAAGGAGGTGCGAAAGAGCCAGATGAGATAGTAAAGAACATGATAATATATAAAATATTACGTTCAACATTGTCGATTATCTAAATAAAATTTAAAGACGGCACGTTTAAAACTCTCTTTAGTCAGACAATTTCTGATTGAGATGCGTAGCGAGTTCCAGAGCCATACAGTTTGACCTTGAAAGGAGTTGGACATAAGGCGGGAACGATAAAAAGAAATATGAAGGGAGAGATTGTGATCAGAGCGAAGGTTGCGAGAGTGAGCATCAGATTGGAAGGAAAATTTTTGTTTCAGATAGTTGGGAACGATGGGATTAAAGAGGATAGAAAATAGGGTACGAAGAATGTGACTGTTTGTACGCTCGCGAATCTGCAACCAATTTAGCTGACATCGAAAATGGGAAATGTGGTCAAATTTTCGAAGTCCAAATATGAACCTTATACAAATATTGTTGTGAGCTCGTCAGTAGTTCCTTGAACATATAGCTGCAAATCATCAGCATAAAGATGGTAAGAGCTTTTCAATCGTAGAGTGATGAGGTCAATAAAAATACTAAAAAGTAAGGGAGAAAGGATGCCCCCTTGCGGGACACCAGCAGTCAGGTCTGCCCAATCGGAGATATTTCCATCAGTGCGGATGGCCTGCTGGCGTCCGCGTAGATAAGAAGAAAACCATTGCTGGGCTGAAGAAGAGAGTCTGAAATGATTAAGGACAGCAAGAAGGATATCGTGATTGACAGTATTGAAAGCATTAGAAAAATCAATTAAAACTAAGATTGTAAATTTAGCATCCTCTATTCCATTCCTGACATCGTCCACAATTTTCAACAGTGCAGTAGTAGTGCTATGACCAGCCCGGAAGTCGAATTGAAACTCGTTTAAAATATTATTCTTGTGGACGAAATCAGAAAGTTGTTTATGGACGATAGCTTCAATAATTTTGGATAGATAGGGAAGAATACTAATGGGTCTATAATGAGAAGGTAAAGAGGGAGTTGCAATTTTGGGAATTGGTGTTACAAAAGCTTTACGCCACATATCAGGGAAAGCACCAGAGGTAAGAGAGAAGTTAATAATGTGGGTTAAAATGGGAAGGATTTGATCCATAATACGAACAATCATCGTTCGACTGATGTCGTCGTACCCAGTCGCATTCGATTTGATTGAAAGTATAGTTTTGTGGACTACCATAGTTGTTACAGGAGACAAATCAAAAGGATCGATATCTGGAACAGGCATGGAATTAATAAGTGAAATTGTGGAACTCTTGACAACATTGCTGAGAGAAGGGACAGACGTAAAGAAAGAATTAAGGTCGTTGATAGGTAAATGGAGAGGTTGCGTCAAAGGTTGAGTTCCGAAGCCGAGATAATTGAGAAACTTCCATATTTTAGCCGATGAAGACTGGAGAACACCAGCATGGATATGTCGTCGTTTCGCAGCCCTTACCATCCTGTTACAACGATTTCTGGCAACCTTAAAAACTGACCAAGTAATGTCACACCGGTTTTTCTTAAAATTTCGAAAGGCTCTATCACACTTAACCATGGCTGCACTGACGTCAGGAGTAATCCAAGGAGCCGCGGGCCGCCTGATCATGACACGTTTATATGGTGCGTGCAGGTCATACAAAGCCTGAAGAGAGCTATTTAGATCAGAAAGCTTTTCATCTATTAAAGTGTGGATTAGCGTCGCAGTCCAGTCAATCAAGGCAGCGTCACGGCATAGCTCATCGTTATTGAGTTTGGAAAAAATGCGCTTGTACAGAACAATTGGTTTTGTTTTAGGTGGTTTAAGTTTATACGACACAAACAGTAGGTCATGACGAGAGAAACATCGAGCGGACAGTTGTCCATGTTCCGCAACATAGTTGGGAGAAGAAATAAGAATAATATCAATCCAAGAATCAGCTGTATCTATGAGTAGGTTCCAAGGGATTTACGGTGGTAGGGCCACGCAGCAGCCTCGGCTGTTGCACGAATGGGCAGGCCCGTCCGGGTAAGTACCACGACCTCACAGAAGACCGGCGTAAAGTGGAAGTATGACAAATACTTTCGCGTTTCGTCTGGTGAGCGAGGTAGCCGGAGCCCAATTTTCAAAAGGTTGTCAACGCATCTGTAACCCTCGAGTGTAGCAGATGTCCATGGGCGGCGGTATTCACTTAACATCAGGTGAACCGTCTGCTCGTTTGACAACTTTTCGCAAAAAAAAAAAAAAAAAAGGGAAGTATAGAAAAGTTGACAGAAGTAATTAGTGTATGGAACTTCTGTGTACGAAAGTTCTTAATTAAGAGGTTACTATTAAAGTCGCCCATGATAATGTGATGCTTGTACTCCGAAGCCACAGGAGAAAGGATAGCTTCAAGTTGTTTAAAATAGTCGATAGAAGGTGAACAATATACTACACCTAGAACTGCTTTGGAGCCACGGAAATTGATTTCAAGGAGGATGTATTCAGGAAAAGAAGAATATACAGATGGAGAAATTGACAGAGTTTTGAACTGAATATCACTACGCAGATAGATCGCCACGACCCCGCCACCTTTTCCAGTGCGGTCATTCCTTATGAGTACAAAGCCGGGTAGACCATAGGAAGTGGATTGTAAAGATGGTTTAAGCCAGCTCTCAGATACTAGTACTGCGTGAAGAGAAGAACAATTAAACGAATCAATAAGATCGGAGTAATGTTGAGGAATACTTTGGGCGTTAATATGGCAAATATTGAAGTTAATGGAGTAATTAGAAAATTTTTCAGCAAGACTTTAGCCTAAGGATAGAGAGTTGTTGAGAGTTGAAGCACAAGAATATTCTTAAGAGGAGTCTGAGTCGAGAGCAGTGAAATAGGACCCATCACTTGACATAATATATAAACAAAATAAATAAACTAATATAAATAATTCGACAATACAATAATAATACAATTAAAATTACTTAATATTACATAGCTATCCACCGGTTGACTGTTTACATAATCAAGTATAATCAAAAATACCCTTAACCTAGAATCTTGACACTTTTCGTTGGCACTACTAATTTTCAAATGTAATCATCATACATTTTCGAATTTATTCATAATATTTGAATTATGTTTGAAGATTGATATACTCCCAAAAAGAAGATATTAAACAAGATTCTACTTAAATTTTTCAAAATATTTCATGTTTGCATTAAATAATAAAAAAAACATTTTAATAAAGCATAATTTAAATATTATACACATGTTCTTAATAGTCGAATAAATCTTTTACAACGTGTTATTAGCCATATCAACGCCCAGTCTAATTTATTACTTGATTAGCCTTACCTAAGTAGTAACGAACTGGTAAAATTATTGGAATATCGATCTTATTTGTTATATAAGTTTACGAATCATTTCAGGAAACCACACTTAACCAGAAGTCGAGTTCTATCATATAAATAAGAGCATAAAAACATTTTTGCGTCAAACAAACAAGGTTTGCGTCCCGCCATTTTTTGTTGATCATTAATTTTCTATCGAATCAAATCAAGCTGCGTTGATATTTAATATTTTCTCAATCAATTCGTATCGTATCTAAAGTTATCAATGACATAGGTTAAATATATTATCTTCCTGTATTCACAAGTTCAATTTAATTTCCGTACAATTTTTTGATTCGTAATAACATTTATACCACGCGCCTTAAATAGAATTAGTTTTGTACTTTGTTCTGATATTTATTGCTTATTATTATTGTCGTTTGTACAGAAGATATTTATAGATTACTAGCTGCTGCCCGCGACTACGTCTGCGTAGAGGGGTAAAAATTTAGGGTTGTATGTATGCTGTATCATAAAAAAAGAAAACAAAAAATTTTATATAAAAAATAAAGAAGAAATTTCGGTGTGGACCACCCTTAACATTTAGGGGGATGATAAATAGATTTTGTCCGATTCTCCACAATGGCCGACATGCACACAAAATTTCACGAAAATCGTTCGAGCCGTTTCGGAGGAGTTCAATTACAAAGACCGTGACACGAGAATTTTATATATTAGATATTCGTCTTTTAATTTACAGCGATTTCCAGAACATGCTCAATCCTTGGCGTACTAGGTGTTGTGGCCTGCGAAGCCTTGGTAATCGTAATACCTACTTGGGACCTGGCCAGAGATCACCTAGCGATTGCTTCAGCCGCTACTGTAACATGTGAAATGGTAAGGCACAATACATGTCCAAATAGCCCCTGGTAATTTAGAATAGGAATAAAAGAACAAACTTTTTTAAGTCAGTGTTAATAGCTGATATTGTTTATATATCTCTAGACGTTAATAAGTTCGAAAGCTCTTCAAAAATCACTCTCTCGTAATCGTTACTCGGCAGCAGCGTTAGCCAGCTACGATTGACAGTGACATAGGTTGTGAAGTTTGCGAAAAGGCGAAAATGTTTTTGTTGTACGTCACTTGAACTCAACTACGTCACCACAGACCATCAACTATAATACCAGTGTCTATAAAACCTATTTTTAATATATTGTTACAGGTGTCCATTAAGTGACAATGTTTAGTTTGTGGCTTAGGGGCAAGCAATCGACAAACCACTATCACGTATTTGTTGAGTGCTTTAGTGTAATAACTTCCTACATATCTTCGCATACCTAATTTAATAGAAGCAGAAAAGAGAACTTATTTTCATTTTTAATGATGATATCATCCACCATTTGATGCGGCATTTTATCTTTTACATATTTTGATACAAACACAATGTTTGTTATTTAAGGCTTGAAAGTCATATAAACGTAGTGTTTTAATATAAGTACGGGAGGTAACGACAGAAGAATTTATGCTTAATTTCAAGCATCCGGACCACCATAAGGCCAATGTTATGAGATTGTATATTAAATACACATTTATTTACGACTTACTAGGGCCTGATATATTTCTCAATAACATAATTTCACAAAATTGGTTCAGCGGTATTAATTTTAGTTTCATGTTTAACTAGTAACTTTATTAATTTTAGTTTCATGTATTTTTAGTTTAGTTTAGTGTTTAGATATGTATTTAACAAATCATATCTAAATATACACCATAATCTTAAAGTTAAGCTTATTAATTCGTTATGATAATCTAGTAAAATAGGTTTAAAAATACAATCAATTTTTATTAAAGACGTATTCCTCTACATTTAATAATTGATGTTTTATGATATCATATTACATAATCGTAATGAAAGCTAAATAGAAATTCATTAAAAGTGATTTACAAAAACCACAATAATGTCTATCATCAAAAATATTATTTAAGGAATTCATAAAAATTGCTTCAATAAAGAAAACTATCTTTTGCTTTTATATATTTTAACAAGAATAACGTTTGAGACGAGCACAAAAGTTCAGTAGACATGTAAGTATATTATAACCGTACAGCTAGATAAGTTGTGACCTTCCAGAAACTGTTGGAAAGTTTGTGTTCGCTTCTGACATCAAAGTCATTCACAACAGCTATCGCGAACTTCCAGCAGCTAACACAAAACTACGGAATAACAAAATTAGTAGATTAATTACACAATTTCCAAAGCTAATTATAGTGGGAAGATGTCCTTTGCAATCATTTGTTAACGCCAACAGCAATTAATTGTGAACTTCTAAGATTCCTCTTTAAGGCTTTCCGTCTAACTATTGAAGATGTTTCAATATTTGGCCAGAATGCCTTAAATGTTCAGCTTTAACTACAATACTGAACGATATCACTATGATACATGAAACAACAAACAAGAAAAATGTTAAACTAGAGGAGTATCACAAGTTTATACGCATAATTATAAATGTTTAATACAACGTTATTTAGTCCCAAACTAAGCATAGCTGTTTTTATGTGTACTAGGTAACTAATAAATATACTTTTCTTTTGTAGACAGCCATGATAGCTCAGTATCCAGGCGCTCGCCTTTCATTCAATTTACTCAAGCAACCCGAGTTCGATCCCCGGAGACAGCACCAATGAAATTGTTAATTTTAAGTGCTGACTTATCACTGATAAATAACTTATTAAAGATACATAAATACCTAGACTTTAAATTGTCAATGTTAGTAGATAAATGAATAAAAACTTTCGGTGCTGCGGGATTAAAACCTGCCTCTTCAGGTTTCGTAACCAGACGTTTTACCAACTAATCTAGCGGCCGATACGTTAAAAACACTATGTTCGTCACAAAATAATTTTCAAGTAGTGGGGTGTGGGGTTTCAGTGTATTGAATCGTCCTCTGGCACAAAAACAGGTTTTATATCCACTACGCCAATATTTTTCAATTCATCAAATATTTATTTTAATGTGAGAATGTAGCAAAAAAGCTGGCAGTTCATCTGATGTTAAATGCTAACCGCCGCCCATGGACATCTGCAACACTCTTAGGGTTGCAGATGCGTTGCCAACTTTTAATAAAGTGGGCCCCAGTTACCTACCAGTTTATACTTCTACTTCACGGATTTCTATGTGGTCGTGGAACTTACCCGGACGGACCTGCCCATTCGTGCAACAGCGATCACCGTTGCGTGGCCCTACCGCAGCTAATCACATTTAAAAATTTCACATAATGTTATGGTCTAGTATATGTCTTGAAACATATTCGAGATTATTCAATTCCACCCAAAAGCAAATATTCATTTAAAAAAAACTCTTTTATTCTCCGACAACTGAAAGAATAAGAAAAGGTACTTATCGCTGACCGGAGCCCATACGGTGCTTTCCAATTACAAGTAACGGCGTACGTACAGAGATTTATAAGTCCTGTGGCGAAACAGCGTCGAAAGTGAAATGTTACATAAATCAGGAGACCCTCGTCAGAGCCGAGGCTGGCGCCACTAAATAACGGCATCCGCACCGGCTGCCGCTGACGAAACCCCATTACCTAGCACGTGGCCACATGCCCGCCCTGAGCCAAGCGCCTTCGCCCACCCTCGGTCCGTCAGCGCCATAAATTATTCTCATGTGCAATTTTGATTGCAATTATATTCAATATCATTACGTATGCATATTTATACTTGGGACGACAGAATTATTTATAACATGAAGTTAATAACTATTAAAAGTATAAATAAAATAAACGAGAACTCCATTCCAAGCAGAAGTACAAGCAAACTTTCTATAAGCAATAAAAAATATCGATACAAATGTAATAAAACGATAAAACATTTTTAAAATGTATCTCTTTTCCAACAGTACCGTGATCATTCATGTATGCAACCATAAATGATCTTAAATTTAAGCCTAATTAAATTATCCACAACTCTTAGTTGCTAATTTTTAATTTTTAAACGTTTGCCTGTAGATTAATACGCCATGGAAGCCTTTGCAGCATAGTTTAAAACTTATTTTATTGAATCCGCTTCCAAAGAACTCGTTAGGGTCGCTGCGCTGCTCTAGCATAAAGTTTATATTTAAAATTTTCAGTTTAGATTCGCGATGAAAATTCACGCCATGGCTGTTGCCTGTGCACCACGATGTGTTGACGGAGGTGAAAAATTACCCACCTTCAAGCATTATGTATATTTCCTGTTTGCGCCAACTTTGGTGTACAGAGATGAATATCCAAGGTAGGTCTTTCACACCGATTTCCCATAACTACCCTTTATTTCGACTTCCAAAATGCCCAAGTATGAATAATATAATAATAAGTAATAGAAAGAATATTGCTACTACCATTTTTCGTGCTACTTTTTTTATTATTTTAATTTATTTATTTCTTTTTAAGGACTAAGAAGATGAGATGCAGTGTGATCTTGTTCCATTTCGTAGAAGTAGCCGCTATAATATTTTACAACAGCTTCCTATGGGAGAGATTCATTTTGCCCTACTGGTCCGATTACGGCAAAGAACCGAGGGTATTTAATTCATATAATTTAAATATTTCTCATAATGTTATGGTGAAGCAAACTTGAAACAAATTCGATTCTATATGTATCTTATATTTTTTTTTCCCATACCTTATACTTATTCCTATATTTTGTATATACCTTAAACCGCTTCAAATTCGGCCACATGTTCCTATCAAACTCATCAGGCTAACGTAAAATCTATAACGAATAAAAATAGAATGAATAAATAATACTTTTTTATTGTTGATATCGTAAATGTACATTCTATTGTGTAATTATATAGCCATTAAGAAAATTGTGACTACATTTCCTAAAAGGTAAATTTGCTAGTTTCGTTTTCGTTTGTCATGACAATACTTTAACACGAATCAAAAAACACTTATCATGTAGTAAGACAAATTACTGTAACACGAGCATAAATAGCGCTACATTACATTAGAATGTTCTGTATGGATATTAAATCTACTTTCAAATTATGAATAATTTATAAATAATTGTTTTGTTTCCGCTATATACCTTATTGGGTAAGCCGTGAAAGACATGCAAAGTAATCATATTAGTGTTCCTGTTATTTATTTATTTTTAGGTAGAAGCTGGGACCGTCGTAAGGGGCATGTTTGCGTGTGTGTTGCCAGGCGTTATTTCCTACTTGTGTGGTTTCTACTGTCTGCTGCATGCTTGGCACAATGCTTTCGCGGAGATATTAACATTTGGCGATAGGTTGTTTTATGAAGTAAGTATGCCTCTTTTAACTCGAACAATACTCTCAAAAACCCTTAAGACAAACTAGGCTCGTGAAATAGACCCTGATCCGCATTGAAGACGTTAAGGGGATTACCCGTCCAAGTAATTTAATTTGGAAAGGCCTAAACCCGGTACTTAATTGTTGAGAAGATTAAACTAAATAACTGTAATCTCACGACGCCATTCCTGTTTCCATTGTGCGCCATAATCAATTAACTGTGCCTTCTAAAGGGTATAGTAGAAATATAAAACAAGAATATCTATTAATTATTAGTTGGTATGGCGTTCCTAGCTATTAGGTTCTGGACCTGGGTTCTCGGTGTAATAGTGTGACTTTCCCTAAATGTTTCCCAAATAATTGTTCGGATATTCCTAGGCACAGCTCCTAACGTAACGGTAAGGAGACCTTCAACTTATCATGGTTGCATGAAACTTACGCCCATTTGTTTCCGTTACAAGGGGTTAAAATACACGAACCCTTGTCTAGTTTTTATCAAATAAATAATAATTAAATAACTTTTTAGGACTGGTGGACCACTTCACAGTTTTCACGGTTCATTAGGACGTGGAACCGAATTGTATACTTGTGGCTACGAGATCACATATATAAACCACTCGCACCGTGGGTAGGTCGCGGTATATCAACGTTAACCGTTTTTGTGGTAAGTTTTATTGTTGCTTGCTTTTTCTATTCCCCTCCGTTATTCGAAACTATAAAACTGCAGATATTAAGTTTATCATATTTCATTAACTCTTAAAAGCATATAACAAATACGTAAAATATGACGAGATGGCACTGTAGACCTGTAGGATATAGGTTAATCCAATTTAAGTAACAACTGTAGGTACCGTACCAATTGACATCAGAAAAAGCAAAAAGTATCAGCCTATACATGTCCCATTGCTGGGCAAAGGCCTCCTCTGTACAAAGGGGGTATCAGGGCATAGTCCACCACGCGGCCCCACTGCGGATTGGCGGACTTCACATTTCTCGAAATATTTATTTTGTTATTACATCGAAAATATGCAGGCTTCCTCACGATGTTTTCCTTCACCGCAAAGCACGTGATAATTCAGCACTTAAAATTGACAATTTCATTGGTGCTGGCACCGGGGATCGAACTCAGATTACTCGAGTATATTAAATTAAAGGCGAGCGCCCGGACACTGAGCTATCGCGGCTCTGTTTAGATTAACTTATATATTAACATCAGAACTTTAAACTATCATTAGTATGTGAGAAATATTTTTGTTGTAGATTGAAATATTAATGAATTAAGTTAATACCTGAAAAAATTCTTACCTTAAAAAATAGACCTCTGCCAACCTCGAAAACGATTTTAGTTTGTAATATTTTTAACTCTTCGCTTGTGCTAATACGAAATCTGAACACACTATTTTTGGTTTGGAAAAGGCCCGTATATTTAAACCTGTATGAATAGTAAAAATATAGCTTTTCCTGGGCTGGGCAACCAGTAATAACATGAATAATCTCACAGTTGCTCACGTGTCTGTGTAACCTCAGGATTTAAGAATTAATTTCGAAATAATATACACATTACATATTAAAATAACAAGATATCCTGGCAACACATTTAGAAATATGAAAATTATCGACTATTTTATCATTATGTAATTTGGTTTATTATTAATATTATATATATATTAATATAATACATTTTCTAAGGTCGTATTTAATCTGGACCAGTGCATTATCCTATTGCTAGTAGTGGTGCCGACCACGGTGGCGGGGCGAGTAATCCGAGTTTCACATACGGAAACAGTATTCGTTTTTTATTCTAATTTAAAATCATAACGATTATTCAATCTGAATAATAAAATCATATTGGCGTTTTAAAAGTCAAGTAAAGTAAATCTGCATCAATTTTAAGGTCTCGTCTTTGGCACATGAAGTAGTACTGTCCCTTTCGTTTGGATTCTTCTATCCAGTGCTCTTGCTGGAGTTCGGTGTCTTTGGAGTGCTTTTATTGCCACTCACAGCTACCAGTGGACGACGCTTTCCCAGCATTCTTAATCTGCTTATGTGGCTATCATTTTTCTTTGGTAACGGTATGTGCACAATTTGTAAAACTAATTTAGAAAACACATTACTAGTTTAAAAGATATTGATTTCCTTATCCTAGTACAAATTTTATTGGTCTACAGAAATACGAAATAACAATGTGCGATGGTTCCGTAATCTCGTTTTCGCGACACTGAACGCTTCATCATCATGGACTCGCTGCATAAAAATAATTATAATATTACAAATATTTTAAAATTATTTTAAACAAGTTTTTACAGACAGAACTGGTTGCAAAACCAAAATAAATTACAAAAATGACATTTTAAATTTTACTCCGAATCCAGGATTAAAAATAAATTAATTAAACACTTTCATGGCAAAGTCGACATCTCTCGTTGAAATATTCATTGCAAAAATGTTATTTTTAACAGTCATCAGTTAATTTATCTACCTCTCTTAATTTCAGGTCTGCTGTGGAGCCTTTATTCAATGGAATATTTTGCTCGGAAAAATTGCCCACCATCCGGAAATGACAGTTTTTTTATACCGAAATCTTGGTCATGTCCGGAAATAGTCCTTAAACCAAATTGGGCATTTCAAAATCCCATGCATATTATTTTCTAATTACATTGCATTACTAATACTTATACTACAAGGCGAATCAAATAAGGATAGGAACGACCTCGCGCCATCTTGTAGTGTCTTAGCTGTCAATTCAAACTTAGTTAGGGTGAACAAAACTGATATTTTATCTTAAAAATTAATAATGTTATCTTAAAAATATATTTTCTATTTGAAGCGTAAAAGAAAACGTTTTAATTTAAATATCAATTCCGTTCATTTCTGCATCACAGCCCACATCAAAATAGAACAAGTATTTATATTATATATAGGTATTTAAATGTTCCACCTACTAACTAAATTTATAAATAAAGCGATATGTGTACTTATGTACGCAGGTATAAAGCTATACTTCATTATTGTATGTACCTCACAAAAAAATAACTAAAAATTTTATCCCGTGATTGTACTTTGTTTGTGAAAAAGACTTATTGTAATCTAAAGTGTCAGTAATATTTAGCTGTTTAAGATCGACTTTTAGAAAAATTAAAGGGGTCATTTATATTGTAATATCTTAAGTCTTTCCTTTAAATAATTATTTTCCTGATATAAGAAGCCGATATGATTACATCGATAAAACACTTGTGATACACAAAAAAGTAGTAGGTACATTTAGTCATTATCATGTAATATTAAATGTCCATTTAACATTATATAATTAACTTTTTCACCCCATCGTAACATTATGCTGAAGGACATGTCCGAACTTTCAGTTTGCGTTAAGCAATGATCAACCAACGTCGTATCCAAGCGTATCTTCTTTCTATGTGAAGCATAGTCTTTTCTAAATCCATGGATGGGCGATGGCCAATAAGTCTTATAATTATATAAAAAATTAAGTCGTTGCTATTTAAAATATTGTTTGAATCAAATTAATTTCAAACCTTTATTTTCTTCGTTCTTAAAATTTGAGAAGATTTAACTTCAATGTTTAGTATGTGCGACCCCGAAAGTGAGGCCACCACCTCAACGATCCGTCCCACCGCGACACCCGCCAAAAAGGCAGCCGCGGCAGTAATCCGGCGCCCGAATACGCCTCCGAACGCAAAACCAAGCCTCCTCCGTCTACCATCATCCAAGAGAAAGCTAAATGGCACCAAATTTGTTTGTCGCTCGAACACCACAACATTCGTGACCCCCGGTCGAAAAATACTTATCAAGGTATCCGCGTGTATCTTGATTTCACTTTCGCCGCATAACGAAATACTTACGCAAACAAAGTAGGTTTTCACACCTACTCGCTGCCCGAAGAACGCAAACTTCAGGTGGTCATAAAGGGCATCCCAAAAGAGTCAGATGTCGATAATGCAAAACTCGACATCCGCAATCAGGGATACCCGGTGCACGCCGTTCGTCGCCTAAAACACCCCAGAACTCGTGTGTCTATAGACATGGTTATGGGTGAGTTAGACCCTACCCCGGAATGTAAAGCTATCTTCACTTTAAAGAGGCTCTGTGAGCTCAGCGATCTCGTCATCGAACCCCCGTGTAAGTCAGGAGTTGTTGCGCAGTGTCATAACTGCTAACACTATGGCCATACGGCACAAAATAGTTTCGCTTACCCAACATGCGTCAAGTGCACCGGTGACCACGCCACGCCCGAGTGTACGCGGCCAAAAGATTACGCAGATCCACCGGACTGCGTTAATTGCTAACTACCGACCACCCGGCTAGTTACAGGGGATGCGTTAAAGCTACCAAAAGGGAACCCGCGAGGAAAGCGCCCGCAAAAATCACTCTCATGAAATCCGCGCCCGCGAAATTTAACCCGCGCCCGTAACCGTTGTAAGCGCCTGGACGAAACCTCAGGTAAACGCACAGGTAGTCGCGCCCCCGGTCGTTTCACGACCGCCGAAATTGCAACCGCAGCCCGCCAAACAACAGGCGCCGAGGCAACAACTGCAAACAATTACACCGGTCGTTTCTTAATTTAATAACCTCGCATCGTTTTCCGGAAGTAATAGCAGTATGCTTTCTATTTTAGGCCCTTACTGTTACAACTGTAACACATGAAAATAAGTTCTTCTTAATTAAAACAGTCAAAAATTTATCATAGTAGAAAATCTAGAAAAAGAGAAATCGTTCTCGCTTTGGAAAATTTAATAAGTTTGCCGAAAGAAATGCGTCGTCGAAAAAAATTGTATATTAATTGAATTCGACAGTTGTTTCAGTCATAAAGTATGTTTATTTTTTCTTAACAGTGGTAGGGCCACGCAGCAGCCTCGGCTGTTGCACGAATGGGTAGGCCCGTCCGGGTAAGTACCACGACCTCACAGAAGACCAGCGTAAAGTGGAAGTGTGACAAATACTTTCGCGTTTCGTCTGGTGAGTGAGGTAGCCGGAGCCCAATTTTCAAACTGTTGTCAACGCATCTGTAACCCTCGGTTGTGGCAGATGTCCATGGGCGGCGGTATTCACTTACCATCAGGTGAACCGTCTGCTCGTTTGACAACTTTTCGCATAAAATAAAAAATAATTTAAATTTCATTTGGGCCTCCCGACACATTTTGACAAGACCAGCCTAAGCAGCAAGCCACGCCACTACCGCTAATCTTTTTAATTTCTATTCAGTTTTAGTACCAGTTTCACTTAAGCTTCATATTTTTCACTATCCACAATGTTGTAACAAAAATGTTTTATTGATGATCACTGATTATATGTTTTCGTGCCTTCACTTTACTGAACTCCTCAAAAACTTCAGTGAAATCTTTTTTTTTTTGTAAACAAACCTACTGGAAATAAATATTATATATTTCTTTATTTTTACTAATTGATTTTTTGCCGACCGATTCTCTATTTTGGATATGGATATCTATATGGATGAGGAAAATAAAATACGAATACAAAGAAAATAATACGGAATAATTTGGATGTTATGAATCTTTATTTAAAACTTAGAATAGATAAAATCTACAAAATCTTCGACGCTGATTCCACGGGGACGAAATATTTTTGACTTGTCTTAACAAAAAGATGTCAGTCATCCTGCTCATTTTGATCCTGAATATATACAACGGACAAATTTCTTAGGTCTTCCACAAGTTCATAGTTCATAAAATTGCAGTCAATACATGTGAAATCAAATAACATTCACATATAAATTATATAATTTTAATCTACACTTCTTAATGGCAGTAAATCTAGGTTATATAATTATTTCAATCACGATAAAAGCATCATATATTACTACATCTTATTCCAATAATATTATTTTCTAATTAATATTTATTAAAACATAACATTTATTGTTACAACAAAATGAGTGTATTAAAACTGAATTAAGAAATGATTCGGAATGTAATAAAGAACGAAATATTTTGTGCAATTAACTATTGACAGGGATCACTTAAGACCTAATTATCCCTGTCAATAGGTAGACAAAATGTTGGAAACTAACATTTTAGTCGTTCCACATAACGACCGCTGTCGTCGCGAAATCTTCACATATGACGTCATGACTTACGCTCACGACGGCCCATCTAAAAAGGTAGGTCGAATTGATCGTAGACAAAATTAGCGGCATTTTAAAAATTCAAAATGTCAAAGTTCAAAGTGTCACCGCAAAAGTAATTTTAATTAATTAATTTGAAAGTCCTCACAAAGCAAGCCATTATTAAGAAGAAGAAGAAGAAGTAATTTGAAAGTCAATTAGTTAAATACACCACTAATATTAAATATAGAAATGTTATTATAAACTTTTGGTATATAAATCGATTAAAACAATAATTTAACAACTATTTTCAAGGCTTACAGATTATAACCTAACCTCTTAAATCTTTTGCTTCCTTTTTGCATTATTTAGCTCCACACTCAAAACGCTCAATAATCCATTCCACTTGAGTTTACGACAGTAACACTCACAAGCAATTGGAACTACAAGTGGAAAAACTGCGATCGTGAGTGTGATCGTTGTGAACGCTTAGTAGAACGCACCCATAGTATCCCTGTTTGATCAAACATATTTAATCCCAACAGTACAAAAAGTGCCTGTCGCCTTACAGACAACAAATATCATTTTTAATTATCAGATCCAAAACAATAGGTGAAATCTCAGAGCTATCTGATATGGCTATAAAAACAAATGGTTTTTAATTACTTCATGAAGCAAAAATATATTTTCATTAAACATTTTCTCACAGCCCTACTAACTACTATATGCTTTAGTAGACCAGGACCTATAAAAATGGTAAAAAGTGAAAAAAATACAGTAGGATGATAGTCATTGGAAAAGTAGGGGAATATAAAAAAAATGAGAGGAAAAATAAATTATGGTCGATCTGAGTTAGTGAACTATCTTACATGCAGTATGATTTACATGAATATTTTTATCATTATGTATCGTAAAAATGTGACTGCTGCAATTTTTTTCCAATTTTCCCCACTCCTTTTCCAATGAGTTTCATCCTACTGTAATTTATTTTGGTTACAGAAATTATTATCGACCCTGGTCTATATAGATGTAAATGTTATATCTACTTATCTACTATCATATAACTAACTATACTTAAAATGGCAATTATGGTAAAACGTAAGTGTAATAAATTCAAATCTGTGTGTATAATAATAATAATAATAATGTGGGCATAGATTAATATAAAAATTTTGTAAAAAAATCCTCATTACACAGCTGGGGAGCGATCCTGTTCTTTAAACAGCGATGTTGACATCCTGTAAAGATAAATGTATGACTCATCACAGAAAATATTGTGCAATAATTTCAATTGTATATTGTATAGTAAGGATATTAGATAGTAATTGAAGTATTATAGACCTATTTAAAGTGTATTAAAACAATATTCACTAGTTACTTACTTGCTAATCATGTGTGCATAAATATAATGTGGAATAATTGTGATGTTTACAACAGATGGGCTTGCATCAATAACCTTTGATATGTCCTTATCTTTCATACCAACAACATTTATTGTATTTACTTCAAGGATCTGGTGATCCGTAAGCAAACCATTGCGTGCAGCTGATGAGTCCTTCACCAATCCAACAATGTAACCATCTTTAAATTGAAAACCCACATGCCCTAAGGAATCTTTATGCAATGTAATGGTTCTCTCAAATGGTCTGAAACATTGTAATTTACAATTTTATTAATACATTTTGATATATGAAAACAGATGTGAAGAGCCAAATAAATAATGCTAAATATACCTGTCACGCACTGCCATTATGATACCATTGGTCGGAGCTTTCTTTAAAATTGCATGGCATTGTTCCATAGTCATTCCTGCTAATGACACATTATTTATCTCTAGTACTTGATCTCCAAATCGGAGGCCAGCAAGAGCTGCTGGACTACCAGTAGCCACATAGCTAACAAACACTCCATTGTTAACAGAATGAAGTCTTAGCCCACATTTACCATCCCGGTCCTTACAAAGCATTACTTGTCGTATAGCATTTGTAACAGTTGCTTTGGCCAAGCTTGTTGATTGTGATGAAAGTGGGGCTACTAACGTACTCACCGTATTGGATCCACTTGGCTATAAATTTACAATTTTAACATTATTGACACAACATTTTCACAATGAAATGAAAAAATTATGTTATCACAGTGAAATAGCTAAAAAGTATTTATTTATACAAAGGTGAATAATGCTATTACCTTCCCATCAACCTAGGGGTGGTCCAGAGAAATTTATTACGAAAATATTAAGCAATTTGTATTGTATATATCTAATAAATAATAATTACTGTTACTTACACTTTGAAGCTGATATTCGGGCATATTACGAGCTATAACGTCATGTGATAGTTCGAGACCCATATAATCTGCAAGAGCAGGATAGACATGACCAGTTGGTGCCCTAGGCATAGCTGAAGGATTATGCGGTGCTGGATTCTGATGTTGAGCCATTTGTGCTCTCGCCATATTATCTACCTTCATATCTTCAAGCGATGGATAGAGAGACATTTTAAAATCTGAAATTATGTACATTTTAATTACAGCATATAAACTATTAATCATCAATAGTGGTTTTCCCCATGGTATTTATTTAGTTTTTACCTTAATAAAGTGATAGATAGATGTGATGAAATCAGTACGTGATTATTTAATCCAAAAAACTTACAGCGATACTTGTTATAATTTGGCTATAAGTTAAAAAATTTGGAATTTTAGGTTTTGGAGTCAACAAATCACTCATAAAACAAGAAAAATAATAATGGAATTGGACCATAGACCAAATATAGATTAACAATACTTCGTACAGTAAACGAGCAAAGACAACAATTTTTATAGACTAAACATATATATTGACAAAAGTTGAATAATTCCGTCAGTAAGAATAAGAAAATAAGTATAATTTTTTTTTATATAAAAATGAATCCCTATTTCCCTTGGTCACGCCATCATTATTCCTTGAAGTAGGAAGATGGTCCTTACGGAGAGAAAAATTTTAAAAATTGCCTGAAAATGTCTTAAAACAACACTTTTCTATATTCCCATACAAAAAAAGGGAAGGCAAAACAAGTGAGTGACTGTGCTAAAATGTCACTTGAAATGTAAACGCCTCTCTGCTGTGAATCATTCGTCCCGCTGTCTGTCTGTCCCTATGTAAGCTGTAGACACAGCGGCCACACCCTGGGCAACCACATCAGTGGGCTAAACCTAAAGAAGGGGACTACATCTACGAACATCTGTAGAGTAGTTAATGGATGATTGCCATTAAAAAAAAATTCTATATCGGTATAAATCATTATTTTCAAGTACCGATGTAGCACGGTAATGTGAAAAACCTAAAGGGCGCTTGTCAGAATCCATTTAGTGACCTGCGGTCTTTTCACTGCATCCCGACCTTTGCCAGTCGTACCGGTTCACCGGTACATTGGGCCACAGAGGAAAGGACGAGTGAAGTGGACTTGCACCCGCGCAACCGCTTGTCCACTTTATATAAGTTCACGCGCAGATGACCCTAGCTAATGTCTTTGGATTTGAGCATTATAAAGTCCTGCGGCGATGGGGTGTTGGCGGTGGGGTTGAGGTATCGATGTACCAAGGCTTCAGTTGACACCCTGCACGTAGGCGGCCAGAAGAGAGTGGTCGCTCCCGGGGTCGACCGAGGCGGGACTCTGGGTTCGGCAGCACAACTGGCGACAAAGCAGCCCTCTTTAGGATCGCTCTGCTTTCCTCTGCATGAAGGAGGGGCCTAGAAAAGGTGGCCCAAACATAGTCCGTCTCACCTATCCCCTAAGTGCCTAACTGCGAGCGCTTAGGCATCGGTCAATGCGGTCGAAAGATACGAAATAATAATATACGAAAATTAGGAACTAAACAACAACTTTGCATAGCTACCTGGAACGTACGAACTTTACTGGACAATGATCGCAACTTATGTCCAGAGAGAAAGACTGCTCTCATTGCACGGGAACTGGCTAGTTATAAAATTGATATAGCTGCAGTTAGCGAAACGCACCTGAGCGACTGTGGAGAGATATGTGAACAACTTGGCGGCTATACGTATTACTGGAACGGACGTCCTGCCGGTGAAAGAGCGGGCAATGGCGTGGGTTTTGCTATTCGAAACGGTTTGGTGAGAGATCTGAGTGACTTACCCAAGGGTGTCAATGACCGCCTCATGACTCTGCGCCTATCAATCTCAAAAAATAAATACGTCCACCTGATTAGTGCTTACGCGCCTACTCTGCCATCATCGGATGAGGATAAAGAGGCATTCTACCAACAATTACGCAAAATCCTTGAAGGCATTCCAACGCACGACAAGGTTATTTTATTGGGAGATTTTTCCGTCCGATAGGTACGCCAGCAATGCTGGACGAAGAGAAGGCCGAATGCCTGGCTGACAGCCTAGAGTCTCAATGCTCCCCCAGTCTGCTTCCGATCGACCCCGAACACCTCCGCAAGGTGAACGAAGAGGTAGAAAGGACAGCCTTAGAGCCACTTCGCGATCCCGTTCCCCCAGTCACGTGCTCCGAACTAATAGACACCATTAATAAACTACGCCCGCGTAAAGCACCAGGCTCAGATGGTATCACCAATAAGGTGACCAAGCTCCTCCCTGCTAGCATCCTTCAGATACTAGTATTAATTTACAACGGCCAACGGCCTTAACCGAAGGCTTCTTCCCATCCGAGTGGAAGGAAGCCGATGTCATAGGGTTCCTCAAACCCTCTAAACCCGCCACTCTCCCAACCTCATATCGTTCAATAAGTCTTCTCAAAACATTTGGGAAGATCTTTGAAAGACTAATATTAGCCCGCTTAAGATCCCTTATGGACACTAAAGGGCTCCCCATCCCAGAGCAGTTTGGATTTAGAGCCAAACACTCATGTACCCATCAAGTGCACCGCATCACGGAGCACATTTTAACTAAACGTCAACGCGGACTCAACACCGGTGCACTCTTCCTGGACGTGGCAAAAGCGTTCGACAAAGTCTAGCACAACGGGCTCGTATACAAGCTATACGGGCACGAAGTGTCCGACCGTCTCGTATGCATAATACAAGACTTCCTAAGTAATCGAACCTTTCGCTATCGCGTCAAGGGCGTGTGTTCGACCACGCATCCCGTTCGAGCCGGGGTGCCCCAAGGGTCGGTGTTGGGACCAGTCTTGTTCACTCTCTACACCAATGACATGCCGCGTGTCAAAGATGTAGAACTTGCTCTTTTTGCCGACGACACCTGTATCTATACCACAGGCAGAACACCCGAATTGATCCATCGACGCCTCCAAGCTGCGGCCATCACCATCGGTGACTGGTTTCGGCAATGGAGGATCGAAATCAATCCCGCCAAAAGCGCGGGAGTCCTTTTCGCGCACAAAAAGAACATACCCATTCCACCCCCCGTTAAACTCTTGGACAGCCCAGTACCATGGGTTAATAAAGTCAAATATCTAGACGTCGTCCTCGACTCCCAGCTTAAATTCACCCAGCACGTGACCCAGGTCAGGAACCGGGCGGCCTTCGTACTCGGTCGCCTCTACCCGCTCCTCAATAAAACGTCAAAAATGTCCCTTCGGAACAAAGTGACCTTATATAAGGCAGTAGTTCGCCCTATCATGACGTACGCGAGCCCCGTCTTCGCTCACATTGCTCCGAAGCAAATACACCGGCTTCAGGTGATTCAAAATCGATTCTTGCGCAGAGCCACGGGAGCACCCTGGTTCATGCGCAATATCGACCTACATGTCGATCTAGAATTGCCCACCATCGCGCAATTCCTGAAGTCGGCGTCGCGCCGATATTTCGATTCCGCCGCCGCGCATCCCAACCCACTTATCGTAAGTGCCGTCACCTACAGGCCCTTGCCGCTAAATATATTCCGCCGCGATTACCGAAGACCGCGTCACGTTCTCGACTTCCCTGACGATGAGACGACTTTCGCCATCGAAAGGATCAAAAAACTCAAGAAACACACCAACACACACCGCACTCGCCGGCGAGTGCGGCAAACATATACTAGGTTCCGCCACGTACCTGGCAGGTTTTCCCCTATTAATGATGGAAGCGTTGCTGGAGTTTCTTCCGCCACTTCTTCTCCCAGCGCCAACGCTCTCCGAAGTGGTAGTAATATTAGCACTAGTAATTCCCCCAGTCAGATAATAGCTACCGATCGAGCCGAGGTCCGGACCTCTCGGGCACCCTCGAATCGGAATGCTAAACGCGTGCTGAGTGACAGCCTAAGCCGAGGTCCCCTCTCGGGGACCCTTGAGCCTGATCACTCCATGAAGCGCCCGCCAAAGCGCCCTAAGAGCTTGGCGGCCTCCCAAACCGGTAATAATAATAGCGTGACGGCCCGAGCCGAGGCCCCGGGAGCCCTCGAGCTTAGTCACCATAACGCGTAATAATAGTACGCCGAGGTTCAGGCGCCTCGTGCGCCAGGCCACCTCAAGTCCGTCGGATCTGTAAAGGCCCCTAAGGCCAACAGTGGCTCATCCAGCCCACAAAAAAAAAAAAAAAAAAAAATGGGAGATTTTAACGCACGCGTTGGCACTGACTATGATCTTTGGAATGGTGTCCTCGGTAAACATGGTGTTGGAAAGTGTAACGACAATGGATCACGACTTTTATCATTGTGTGCTGAATTCGATCTCGGGATCACTAACACTTTCTTCCGCCTTGCCGATAAACATAAGACCTCGTGGATGCACCCTAGGTCTAAGCATTGGCATCTTCTAGACTACGTCATCGTCCGCTGCAAAGACCTGCGTGACGTTCTCATAACGAGAGCGATGCGTGGGGCGCTGGACTGGACTGACCACCGTCTCATCACATCGAAGATGCAACTAATGCTTAATGCTTCACGACGAGCACAGCATAAAATCCCATCAAAAGTATCCTTCTCTAATCTCATCACCTCTCGAGAGATAGGATTTTTGCTGGACTCAGTTTTTGCCTCTTGCGCATCATAGACAGAGTTTTCCACAACTGACGACGAGTAGCTATATTTTGCAAAAAGCCTGCATGTCTGCGCCTCAGATACAATTGGCAAACCACAAAAAAGAAATCAAGATTGGTTTGATGCATCAAATAACACAATCCGAGAGCTTGTTGAAAGGCACAGACACGAATTAAACTCTAAATCATCACAGTCTCAGAGCTAAGGTTCGCGAACTGAAAGATAATTGGTGGAAGGAGAAAGCTGCTGAATAACAGCACTGCGCTGATACTAATCAGACTGGTAAGTTTTTCGAAGGCATTCAAGCCATTTTTGGCCCACGAGTCAGGAAAACAGCCCCCATGTACTCTAAAGATAGACAAAACCGAGTTACAGACAAAAATGCCTTATTAAAGCGTTGGGCGGAGCATTTCAGTGACGTTTTGAATCCCACAGCGCTCAGTGCAAATCTATCTTACATAAACTCGCTCGAACAACTACCAGTCTGTCAAACTCTAGATGACCCACCGACCTTCGAAGAGTTTGTTGGGGCAATTAAGCGGCTTAAGAACTCAAAGGCACCTGGAATGGACCAACTTCCAGCCGAAATATACAAATACAGTGGGCAAAACATTGATAACAGGATGTACCATCTTGCCTTAAGAGTGTGGGATACTAAAGAGGTGCCTCAGGGCTGGAGAGACGCGGTAATTTGTAAGCTGTACAAAGGGAAGGGAGATGTTTCCGATTGCAGCTCTTACCGAGGTATATCGCTCCTCTCTAGTGCCGGTAAAATTTTAACACACATAATCAACGCGCGCTTATTCAAATTAGCCGAACAACTGCTCCCAGAAAGCCAATGTGGATTCCGTCCAGGTAGGGGAACCATTGACGCTATAGCGGTTGTAAGGCAATTACAAGAAAAAAGCCTAGAACACCAACGGCCACTCTACATGTGCTTTGTAGACCTGGAAAAAGCATTTGATAGAGTCCCGCGTGAGGCACTCTGGCTTGTCCTTAAAAAATCTGGATATCCAAAGAAGTTTGTAAACCTGATTCGCCAATTTCACGTAGGTATGAAAGCACAGGTTCAACACGAAAGCGAACTCTCTGAGGAAATCCAGATTACGAGCGGGGTCAAGCAGGGTTGGGTCATGGCACCCACACTCTTTGCCATTTACTTTTCGGTAGTCATGAGAGACGCTTTACAGCGCTGCAGTAACCGGATTCAGTTGAGCTTCAGAACTGGAAGAGGTGTTTTTGATATATCAAGGTTCAGAGCGAAGTCCAAGGTGCAGAAGATCTCTATTCTAGAGATACTTTATGCTGATGACGTATACCTCATGTCTGATAATATTGTAAATCTCCAGAGCTACGTTGACGCGCTAAACCGATCTTGCCAACAGTTCGGCCTGGTTATAAGTGCTTCTAAAACTCAGATCCTCAAACAACCGCCGAGAGGAATTGAAAGCGATCCAACAGAGCTGAATCTAAATGGGAAACCATTAGACGAAGTCTGTTACTTTAAGTACCTTGGAAGCACTATCCGAAACGATAACACCTTGGCTTCGTAAATACCATCAGGCATCGCCAACGCAGCAGCCAATATCGGGCGACTCAATGACCGTGTCTGGAAGACCCATGATCTCAAGTTAGAGACAAAGATCAACGTCTACAAAACTCTAAACATCCCTGTCCTTTTATACGGAGCAGAGACATGTTGCCTCTACAAAACAGACATTAAAAAGCTAGACACTTACCATCTTAGGTGTCTGAGATACATTCTGAAGATCAAGTGGCAGGACCGAGTTCCTAACTCTGAGGTTCTGCGTCGCTCCGGAATGTACGGCATGGAAGCTCTCCTAATGCAACGTCAGCTCAGGTGGAGTGGGCATGTCCTTAGAATGAACGACCACCGCTTGCCTAAAGCTGTGTTCTATTCAGAATTAGCCGAGGGTAAGCGGAACCATGGTGGTCAGTATTTACGCTATAAGGACGTGCTCAAACGACATCTGAACGCATGCGCTATTGATCTTTTGTGTTGGGAGGAGCTAGCAGCAGACAGATCGTCTTGGCGATCTACCATCTTTAGTAAGGTTAAACTCTTCGAACAAAACGGCTTAACAACCCAAGTCACAAAACGCCAATTGCGAAAGGAGAGGCCTAAACCTTCCTACTTGTACACCTATAACACGAATGGCCAACTCTACTGTTCCCGTGTAAAAGAGTTTTCAAGACTAAGTTTGGCCTAGCCAGCCATATCAGAGCTCACAATAGGGCAAATCCGTAATTGCTAGGGTCGCCGTCATCGAAATCGATGAGGAGAACTATATATATATATGCTTAGAAAACTACGCAACGGATCTTGACAACGGTTTTTTTAATTAGATGGAGTGATTCAAAAGGAAGGTTCATATGTATAATACATTGCACCCGTGCGAAGTCGCGGCGGGTTGCTAGTATTTTATATATTAATCTAGCTTTGCTGTACAATGCACAACAAACACCTACGTTTTTGTGAAGATTCTTTAAATCTAGTTTTTAAATTTCAACCATAAATGAAATAAAAAAAAATCCTTGAAGAAGGCAGACAGAGTGGTATGGAAGCTCGTCGCAGGTTTTCTCAAAAATTTTCAGGACGGACATGACCTTCAGTAATGAAGACGAAGAAGAAGAAGAATAAATGATAAATCTAAATTTTTCAAATAAACGAGAAAATTTAAGTTCTCAATGCTCCGATAACGAACCAAACAATAAACAAAATCTCAAAATATGTATATATATATATATATACATATATATATATATATATATATATATATATATATATATATATATATATATATATATATATATATATATATATATATATATATATATATATATATATTTTTTTTTTTTTTATCTACGCCATAGACAAGTGGAGATTTTGTGAATGTTATTGGAGTATCGAGATTAGAAGTATAGTGAGTAAATACTTTGGCTGCCTCTCATCTAAGGGGTACTTCGGTTAGGGCCGGGGCGACATCAGAGCCAGCTGAAGTAATTAAATGGCGCAAATATGAGTCTTTATGTTTAGATTATGTATTTGTGCCATTTGCTGTCGAAACATTAGGTCCGTAGGGTCCCCGCAGATCAAAATTTTTTAAAAGTTTATGTCCTAGGCTTAACACCGTGGCTGGTGACAAGAGAACTGGTTCTTTTCTCGCTCAAAGGTTAAGCATAACTATTCAGCGAGGAAATTCAACTAGCATTCCTGGCACCCTGCCGCGTGAATTAGGTTTATTAGATAATATGTAATTTTAGATAGATTTAGTCTTGTAAATATTATTTAAATTTAATTAAAACTTCATACGGAAAAAAAATTAAGTATTTTAGAAGAGTATTATTAAGATGATATTTATTATAAATGAATTTGTTAAAATTTGTTATTGTTTAGTTTGTAATTTTTTTTTGCATAAAAATCTGCTTCGTTCTTTCTTTACGTCTTACTGATATTCTAATATTTTTCGGCGCGTTCTTTAAAACTTACTCTCTAGATAAAGTGGCGCCACCCTTATTCTACGGACACTTTTTCACAGAGTTTAGAGTCACAGAGACGTTTCTCTTCCTCTACACTCCATATTACTAGGTATGTCGAAAGTGATCGATTTATCAATATTCTTAAAAATATCAATATCGATATATGAAAGAGAAAATATTGAAATGTTGGTATATCTAATATAGTCCTGGAAATCTCTGTCCAAAAAAAGGCATGTTAAGTATTAAATATTTGACACGTGTGCCCTGTGCCGAATTCGAATTTCAAAAAAGTATCGTTTATTTATGATTTTTGATATTAAATATTTTGTATTCACACATACGGATTCTGTACCGGATTCGAATTTATCGAGAATATCGATATAGAGAATCAAAAATATCGAAACATCGATATTTTCTCCCTAATTTATGCAATCTGTGGTAAAACTTATGACAGTTATGTTACCACTACCATAGAGTAACTTTGTATTTTTGTATACTTGACCACTACTCATTCATAATAGGGATGGTCGATATTAGAAAAACATCGATGTTGACATCGATGTCATAATCGGAAGCCCAGCATCGATGTTCGATATTTATCGAGAAACCGATCATCGATGTTGGATAACATCGATGATTTTTGCATTAATAGTAATTGACAAAGAAATAAAAGAATAAAATACATTGAAATGATTCGAATTCCCAAAAGCGTAAATTAAATATTATATCAACTCAATATAACATTTTTAATACAACTAAAACCCCAAGCATCCACATTCCACACCACAGCTGTACAAAAAAGTGAGATAAATTGCGTAGACAATTGTCTCTTTTATAGCATTTATAACTTATTAAAGAACGATTTTGCTTAGCATGCACAGAAAGATAACATGCAACATTTAGAAGTCAATCAATAACAACTTACAAATTATTGTTGTATTCCATGTAATTTTAGATGCACAACGATACAGTACTATCTAATGAGTAAATTAAAACACGCACGCGCACAACATAAAATTTTATCAACAAACGAATGGAAGTGTGAGAGAGAAAGAGCGAGCGAGACTACGAAGAACGAAAGAAGGGATCGACCGGTGTGCAGTGAATGAATACACGCTCAGAACTTTAATAAAGCTTTTGTGGATTCGTTCACAGAAGACATAATTTGTTTCGTAAGTTGCATTAGTCGTGCGTGAGGCCTAACTCACGGCCTCAGCGATGATCGATTCCGTTAACATCGATGTTACGATATTTTTCGTATAGTAACATCGATGTAAAAACATCGATGTTTTTACACTCAACATCGATGATCATCGACCATCCCTAATTCATAATAATTCTGAATTCATAATTGTAAATTTGTATTTGTTTTGGTTTTAAAATATTGATATGTATTTAAGCTGAAATGTCCAATGAAAAAAATACTATTTAATATTAATAAACATTATATTAATATTTAATATTTGAAATATATAATGGAAAATACAAATAACAAACAACGTACCCCAAGGTAAACATATTAAAATTAGAAAATATGTCCAAAAAGTTATACAGAGGTTTTAATAACTGTTAAAGTTGATATCATTTTAAACTAAAGATTAACTACATTCGTTTATAATTCACATATAATTAGAGAAATATCTTAGTACATTAGAGTTATAAATTAATAAATAACTTATTGTAGGTTTTTAAAACTTGCTAAATAATTGTAGTCACTTAAATCTTATATTTAGTAGATGCAGAGAGTGGGAGCGTCAAAGAAGAAATAGATTTAATGAAGCAATAACCAAATTAGGCGAAGTTGTCAAAGAAATGATAAAAAATGACACAAAATCTGAATCAGCAGATAATGTACAATATCCCAAAATAGAAATAGTGCAGAAAGCAATTTTGTGTCTAACTACTTGTGCTCAAGAAAAAACACAACTTAGTAAGTTATACATGTATACATATTAAACTTTAATACTACATTGAATTTTATTTGATTTACTGATAAAATTATAAACACTATTTTGCATACTTATAATAATAATAACAAACACTTTCAAAACTCATATATGTTAAGTCGGTAAATTATTCTGAATTTTTATTAATGATTTAAAAAATTTAGAAGCTGAGATATTGGCCTTGCAAGTAAAACTTGACGCTGAAAAAAATAACAAACCTGATAAAAAAGATGCATGTATTCAGGTATCTGCTGTAGTCTGTAGAAAGAAGAAAAGTGAGTACATTTTTTATTAATTATGAATATGTTTGTGTTTTAATTTATTTATAAATATTTCTGAAATATATAGACACATGAAATACTCATGTAGGACTAATCCTTTTCATTGTGTGAAAGACTTCTTCATATTCTTCATAGAAAATATTATCTAAATTATTATTTATCAATAGAAAGTTTGTATAACCTTAATATAGATTTTAATGAGCCTTACTTTAATTAGCTTATTAACTTATAAAATAAATTATGTTACTATTAAATAATAATGAGGTATTATTAAGCTTACAATGTTTTAATTTTATACTCAATCCTTTTCAGATGGCAAATACGTTAAATTAGTAATGTTGCAAAAGTCAAAAAAAAAATCATTAATAGATAAACCCTTATTAACAGCAAATGATGTTCCTAACAATAAGGCTGAAAATAAATCCCCACAAGAAACCATTACAAACAGTAAAACAATGCAAAAATTGCCAAAGTTGTTACCATTAACTAATAATATCAATACTAAAAAAGGTAGGTGAACAAGTGAATCTTAGTCTGAGAATTGTTAAATATTTTTTTGATAATGTCTAAAATTTTTAATTACACCATCCATTGAAATATATTAATAAAGTCACATAAAAAGGTTAAACATGATTATAGTAATGAAAAATAATGTAATCCATTTTTATTTCAGGTCTAGAAAATGCTATAATGATGTTCTCAGGAGCACCGTACATGCTTCCACAAAGGCCATTTTTATTTCCAGCGATACCACCTGCTATAATTTTCTTGGATCCAAATTTTCAACATATAAACAAAACAACAGCAATTCCTATTGTAAACAGAAATATTGGAGATATGACTAAAACTACTATGGTTAATATTTTACCTATATCAGCTTATTCACATTCTGTTCCTTCTACCAAAAACAAGAAAAATAACTGTAAATCCAAACAAGTACAAAAAAATCTTATTACAAAAGCTATAAAACCAGTTACAGATTTGTCCAAAGAATCGATGGTAAACAAAGAAATCAAGGTGTTAATAAATGATGAAACTATAAGCGATACAAACAAACATGAGAAAAGTAACAAGAAGTTAAAAACAGAAAAGAATATTAATTGTAATAATATATTACACAAAATTAATGATAATGTAAACATAAACAGCCAAACTTCTGAAAACGAAATCACTAAAACAGGACATAGAGACACTAGCAATGAAGTCTTAAGATCTGATAAGCCAAAAAAATCTGAAGCCAACCCTAACAATCCTGTTATTCCTATATCTACGTCAATTACTCAAAAATCTCACGAGATACAACATTTAGAATTAGGGGAGGTTGTTTCAGATAATCCTAATAAATCCAATAAAACATCAATCGAAAAAGACATATTATTAGAAGATAAGGATAAAGAAAATAAATTACCGTCCTTATTAGACACAGCTCTATGCGACAACGTTGTCGATGGTGGTAATGCTAGGTTAGAGTTAGCCGAGGAATTTTTAGCCGCTTCACCAACAGCGGCTTTCCTTATGTCTTTCCCATTAGTTAGTGGTAACAGAGCCGATAGTCCAGCAGAAGAGAATCATAATAATTTACAGAATAATACTAAAGAAAACAATCAAAGAAGGAATGATGTTCAGCCTACACAACCTTTATATTTCTCAAAACATAATGATGAAAAAGTAAAAACAACTAAAAGCACTCAGAATATTCAAAATATTACACCGAAACTTAGTGAAAATCAAAAGTTTATTAGCAATGGCGATATACCAAAAGAAGTTGAAACGAAAGTATCCAATATAACTGGAATTACTAATTCGAGTAGTGATAATCCATTTTTAAATTTATCTATGCCATCACTAATACCAACAAGTTGCAATCTTACTGACTCGGCATTTTCACTAGATTTTGATTGTAATGTAAGCAAAGCAAATCAACCAGTAAGTGTTGTGAACACTAATAATTTTTTTTACAAAAGTGATCCTCTCAACACAGGTAAAAGTACTATTTACAGTACCAGTAATATTTCGTCCGGTCACGAATTTAACAGCATTGGTCTTTATCCGTGTGCAATGGAAAAATTCTCTGCAAAAAGCAAATCCGATTTTTCCAATATGGAAGATAATCTCATGAAAATTGGCCCGTCTAGATTAACATACGATATTGATCTTGGTTGGTCTCATAAGGGCTTTGATTTCGTTACGTGCACCACAACCGCAAGTACATTTAACAAAGATAACATTTTAACTACCGCACCAACGCAATACTCAACGTCGTATAACCCTTTCAATCCAGAATTTCACGTACCACTTGTAGCAAACTCAAATAAAAAAGATCACGTTTCGAGCAAATCTATCACATCTTACCCTGAAACTATTACCAGTTTTTATTCCCAACCAAGTAATTTATGGTCTGATGAAATGACATTTTATTCAAGCAACAACTTATCAAAAAATTTTACAAGCAAACCGCAAAACTTTACCGCCATAGACCACGCACAAATCAGTTCTAATCTTAAAACAGCTACCGTTAAACAATATGAAATAAAACAGATCGCACACGTTACAACAAGTCACAATGTTAAACCCACTATTGAGGGACCTCCAATAATCGCCGATAAATACACGAAGAAGGCTCCAAGCAAAATGCATATAAATTGGATGACGTCAGAAATAAGACCGATGCAAAATAATTGTAATGTAAATCAACCAACAGTCAAAGAAAATCATAAAGCTGTATACCCGCAAAACGGGATCACGAGGAAACAAGATCACGCTAACGGAAATTATTTTCCAATTAATATGCACAATTTTCCATCTCAAGTAGTACAAGAAGAGTTTCAAGTATGGCCAACGGCTAGACCCGCTGGTACCACTGAAATTAGTATAGAGCCTCCACCAATAAATTTACCGACACTGGTTGGCGATCTGGCCCTAGGCCCCGAAAAGAAAAAGAACGAATCTATAAATAGAGTGGTACCACAATCCGATCTACAGAATTGCAATAATTTCTTTTCCGTAACGCAGTTAATGAATCGTTCGTCAGACGTAATACCTTCTCGTTATCAGGGGCCGATTATGGAGCCGAAACCAAATCCTTCTAAGCAAAATATGAGCAGTAAGTCTCGCTTAGAAACTCATCTTTCGCAACCTTGTTATGTTTTCGATGAACCGAAGCCGGCAGCTTACGAAGCTGTGAGACAATTTTCACAAACAAAACCGAAGAACAATAAACTCGATAAAAGTTCAAAGAATCAGAAAACTAGTTATTCAGCTGAAGCTTTAATACGCGGTGGACCTTGTAATCAAAAGACTCAAGATACGACTATCACAAAATTTATGTTACCAACACAGAAATTTAATGATTTTAACGTGACGCAAGACAGCGCAGTAGCTCAAGTGTCACACTTTCCTCCGCTTCTGGAGTACCCTGACAACGGATACGCGGGACAGCAATTTTCTGGAACAACTTTATATAATTCAACAACGAACACAATATCCAATTCGTTTTATTCAAATTTCATGCCTGCAAGTGGTAATTTAATGAGCGGCAACTACTCAAGTGGACCATTTCAAAGTGAATTTATTGATTATAACCAGCCGGCAGAATGTAACTACACTAACTATAAGTACGAAGATTTGAAAATGAAAGTCAACTCGACTACTCTATTTCAAGATAAGCCTCCCACGACGCAATACAAAGGAACCCGACGAGAAACAGCGGTGAAACACAAATTGGAATGCTCTAAGAAAGAGTCTAGTAAGAGATGCAACAGTAAAAGAGTGAAATTAACAAACGAAGTTGAAGATTGGGCTGATTCGGCTCATCTGCTTTGGCAAAGTAAAACCCCAACGAAAAGGCATCCAAATATTTCAGACGACCTGACATTTCCTAACTATGTGGGAAATCAAATATCAGCTGGCAGTCAGTATCAACCGGAATTCTTTAATACCCACCTCATGCCGACGAACATGCAAAATGTAAATATAGATCGGACCCTTACTAGTTTTCCACCAACGTCGCGCGCCAACTTTAATCTAAGTACAATATTTCCAGAAATAACCATGGTGAGAATCTTGTATTTTAAAAATATTATTATACAATTTTTATACATAACTAATTACATTATTAAATTGTTGCAGAAGGTGCAATGATGAATTTTCAATCGAGAGTATTATTAGTATGAACTGTAACGCTGTGATTATTTATAATATTTATAAACAGAGAAGTTGAAAATGTAATTTAATTACCATTTGTTAATAAATTTAGTGGATAGTATTCAATTGCCTTTTTCTTCCCCAAGTACAATATGTCATTCGCACACATTCATTACATAACAGACTTATACTTCTTATTTACTTCTTATTTTTCGCAGCGTGAGGATATCTTTCTTTTAGCCCAGTGGCATAGTCGAAAATTTGTGACCATTTATCTACAAATAAATTAACAATTAAGTTTCATCTCAAAGATCATCGCTACTGTCACATTTCCTTTTCTGTGACAGTACCTATTGTCCTGTCGCCCTTCCTTCCCAAGAGTCCAATATTATGGTTGTCTCCCAACTCCCACTGAAGTAAGTCGGCGAACCCGGTAAGTCACAGGGCAGATAAAACACACGTTGACTATAGATGCCTTGCTAGCGTCGATGTTGCACCTACCTACTTCCCTTTGATTGTAGTGGTTTCATTCAATACAGGGTGCGGCGGATAATATTGCAACTGTGTTTGCGCGAGCACTGTAATGTTATATATGTTTCGTACAGTATAATGTATTCTGTGCAAATGGCTTGGCTTGATACCGGACTCCGGTTTTGAAAAGGAAGTTCACGGCTATGGATAAAGGTAGACAAGCGTCTCATTTGGTCTAAAAGTTATTTGACCCAACTTTCTGCACTGGCTAGTTCGGAGAGCTTTACACGGGGCAACCGTACAAAGTCAAATCAGGCGCCCACATGCAGTTTTTGCCGAACTTAATTCATACCTAAATTTATAACATTGATGATTCCTCATCTCTCTTTATCGGGTGATTAAAAGTAAAGTAAAATAACAGCCTATACATGTCCCACTGTTGGGCAAAGGCCTCCTCTATACAGAGGTCATCAGGGCATAGTCCACCTCGCGGCCCCACTGCGGAGTGTTACTATTTCGAAATTGAAATTGTTACTATTTCGAAAATATGCAGGTTTCCTCACGATTTTTTCCTTCACCGCGGAGCACGTGATAAGTCAGCACTTAAAGTTTAATAACTTCATTGGTGCCGGCACCGGGGATCGAACTCAGGTTCCTGGAGTATATTGAATTAAAGTCGAGCGCCCGGACACTGAGCTATCACGGCTCATCATCGGGTGATTACAATAAGCATTATGTTTCATGACACCTGACAAACAACTTTTGCGCATAGGTTCTTCCTGTAGCACAGGAAACAATTATTTTTAAAACAAATCGACATTATTACGTCATGTTGATTCTTGAGCAACTTAAACCGAGTCTATCTATAGCAGTGGGATAGGCAATTGTCCTTGATGAACTAGAATAGATTAAAACTGCTGCCCCGTGAAAATTAATTTTCAGTACAAATTAAAATATACAGGGTTGTTATTTACAAATTGTAACTTTAATCAATCGTAGGTTTATATTACACCGAATTCCATTTTTTAGATATTTGAACTTTAAAAATGTTTGAATAAAACATGTATCAAAATATAAAATGTAAAGAATCTAAAATTATTTGCAAACTTACGAAGCACGCCTACCTAAGTTTGTTGTAATGAAGTGTCGGTTTTACTCAGTATAATTAATTAAGTTGTCAAACTGTCTGCTCAAAGATTAATAATTTTAACTTCGCATTATTGTCATATATACAATTTTTTTTAAAAATTCCCTCAAAGACTTAAATATGAGCTTAAACAAATAAAAAATTAATGGAACGTCCATATAATTATGAGAAAAACTTGGTCTTTCAAGGAATTTTAAACCAGGTAAAACTTAAAGAGACATGATTAACGAAAAACGTTGCTGTCTTTGTAATGGTTATTATCGTATAAGTAATGTTCCAAAAACTCGTGTTAATTTCTAACTAAATTTAAAAATTAATCATAAATTTTACGCAGTTTACGCTGCAAATTCTGCTGTTGTTGAAAACGTGTAGATACGGCTGGCTACTCTGCGCCCGTGCTTAAGGGTAGTGAAGTTGGTTTTAACCAAGTTACGGTCACTAATGAGTCTATCCTCTCCATTGAATCCATTGCAGCCCCAGCCCAGATATGACAGCAGTATATGGAGTACACACGATCGGACTTGAGCTTTGTACATAGTAAAAAGTTGGTCCGGTGTGAAATACCGTCGCACCTTTGCAAGGACGCCTAACTTCCCTGCATCTGCCCTGGCCTTAGACTCAATGAATCGCCCAACAACTGAAGGCGGAAAAAATACACGCCTGCGTTTTGGAGGCGTTGAAACTCACAAGATTGGCATCGCCCCATTCAGAGACTGCCTGCAATGTAATATTCAAACGCTCTACCATGGCCTCTCTTGCGGACTGGATGTGATCTCTATTGACCCGAAGACTCGGTTGGTATCTCTCCACAACTGTGCCGTCGTCCGCGTACCCATAGATACCGGGCATGAGCAGATCGTTGATATTCAGCAGGAAAAGAGTTGCGGAAAGGACTGACCCCTGAGGAACTCCGGCATTAGAGTCAGTGGCTCGAATGAACAGCCTTCGACGACTACTCAGAGAGACCGCTCACTCATAAAGTCCTTCACCCAACCGATTAGGTCAGGAGATATGCCATACGCTGAAAGCTTGCTGAAGAGGCTGGCGTTCCAGCCTTCGAAAGGTCTTCGAGATATCTAGGGAAACCGTTTTCTTCACCATTGTTCTCTTGTTCTCGACGGCTTCGCCCCAAAGGTTAGTGGCGTAAACTAGAAGGTCCCCAGTTGACCGATTTCGGCGAAATCCGTACTAGCGGTGGCTGAGAAAGTCGATGTGTTCTAGGTACGCATTTTTCATCCCCTTAAATGTTAAGGGTGGTCCACCCCTATTTTATTTTTATTTTTTATATAAATTAAACGCAGACGTAGTCGCGGGCAGCAGCTATTTATCTATAAAAACGCCAAAAAAGTCATGTCTGTTGTATAGGGGCCCCACTTATATATTTTTTATTCTGTATTATATAGTATTTGTTGTTATAGCGGCAACAGAAATCCATCAACTAAGAAAGTTTCAACTGTTTAATTGTCACGGTTCGAAAGAAGGTGCTACGTGGTCAACACCCAAAGGGTTGAGAAACTGGCGACTTCAAGATGACGGAGACGCTGATAACGAGGAAACGCTGATATAGGCGCGCTGGTGGAAATGTTGCTCCAAAATATATCCTGTATAGTCTAAACTATACCTAAGTACGCCACATCTGTAGGACATTGTATTTGAATCACCGTCATCAAAAGAAGATGCGGTTAATCAGTCTCCAGATGTTGGTGGAAAGAACAGCAATTAGAGTGCAGACCTCGAATCTTAGAGAGGTGCACTTGTAAAGAGAGGAAGTGCATCCGCTGTGTGAGCCTATTTTTCCTTTTCTGATTTTTAATTTTATATTGTGGAGTGAAAGGAATAGAAGATGGCAGTTAAAGGAGGAATTGTGATGTTAGCCAACAACGTAACCAGAGTCGCAGTACCACAGGGAGCTCGATCTGGAGACTACGGGGACGCCCGAACCCCTCCGGGGATCGCCATCGGGTTTTCTCACCTGGTCACCAACAGGCACAATGGGGTCACCCTATGATTATGCACAGTTGGCGGGGCAGCCTTTTGTGCGAGCTGGCATACTACTTGGGCCCCCTACTAACTGCGGGTGGTCAGTGGAGCACCATTCTTCCCTCTAACCTCCGCGAGCAAGCACCCGATACTGAAAACTAGTGCATGGAATCCGGCATTTGCCACAAGGCAACAGTTCAAACCCATCCTCCAAACGGTTTAATCAGACACGATGCTGGAACACGACGATTCGCTTGGCAGCATGACTTTGTCTGTCAGATGTTAACTTAAAGCCGGAAGCCGATTATGAAACCAGTATTACCGTTCGTTTAGCACTTCTAAAGAGACACGTGCAGGGTATCATAATTCAAGTACCATCCAATCCAACGGACGCGAACAGCTTCGTCCACCAAAGATTCATGTGGTGAGTGAGGTAACTGATGATCTGAAATATTCAGGGCGCCAGTGTTCGCTTACCATCCGTGGATGAGCTAGATAATTAAGCCATTAGCGAACATAAAATGCTTGTAGAAGCCCTCTGGGCATTTACAAGCCAACCATAAACTTAATAGTCCGCGCAATAAAACCGCGCTCCGTCGCGTCGTTAGTTAGAACTCATAAAAATCTTTAATGGGAAGTACAACCGCAGGTAGAACAAAACCTCGGGCTCTGGTTCAAAGTCAAAGTCAAAGTCAAAGTATATTTATTCAATATAGGCCTAACTTAAGCTCTTATTGAACGTCAACAAAAATCTACCACCGGTTCACTAAACTAGACCTGCACAGAGAAGAACCGGCAAGAAACTCTGCGGTCTTGTTCTTTTCGTTATATGTATTTTTTTTAATGCAATTATACACACTTATTTCGGTATGAAATCAGCAGCAGCCAGGGGTCTTGCAAGTGCAGAGCAAGAGTCATTTCCAAACATCCTTGTCCTCTATGTATTCTTGGATATTATAATAAGCCCTTGCCATTAAGGTAGCTTTTACAAATTGTTTGAAATTGTTTATACTTAGTTGTTTGTGGATGTCACCTATTTTATTATAAAAGTTGATGCATCATCCAAGAAACGACTTTCTGGTTTTAGCTAATCTAAACCTCGGTACTTCCAGAGTGTCACCACGGCCCCGACGCGATGTGGATTGTTTTTTCGTAAGTAGGTGGATATTATTGTTGGTTGTTTCGTATTATGGTTGTTTCGTATTTCAACGCAACGGTTGGTCCGCAGTCTGAAAGCAGACCCCCGTGAATCTCTACCGCCGTTAGTTAGACCTAATAGCGCTTCAGTAGCCCTAGATGACTCCGAAAAAGCCGAATGCCTTGCGGACAACCTAGAGCAGCAATGTACGCCATCGCGCGAACACATCGATACAGCCCACCTAACGGAGGTGGACCGCGTAATCGAGATTAGGGCTGCGCTTCCACCGGAAGGCGATCCTTTGAATTCAGTGACCCCCGAAGAGGTTCAAGATATTATTAAAAACTTAAACCCCAAATCCGCCCCGGGCCCAGATAATATTAGTAACAAAATTCTTAAAGCTCTCCCTGGGCCGCTTATCTGTTTACTGGCGACCATTTACAATACTTTACTCTCCAGTTGCTCCTTTCCAGACGACTGGAAAGAAGCCAGGGTTATTGGCATTCGCAAGCCTAATAAACCAGCCAACCAGCCCTCTAGCTATCGTCCCATCAGCCTCCTCAGTTGCCTGGGGAAGCTCTACGAGCGGCTTTTATTAAACAGGCTCAATGAGCACGTGTTTTCCAACGGCCTTCTGCCGGCGGAACAATTCGGCTTTCGAGCTAGACATTCCTGTACCGATCAACTATTCCGCCTAACGGAACATATCCTAAAAGGCCTAAATCACCCTAAACATATTAGTACAGGGGCTCTTTTCTTCGATGTCGCAAAAGCATTCGACAAGGTCTGGCACAACGGCTTGCTTTACACGCTGTACACACTCAAAGTGCCAGATAGGCTCGTACACACCATCCAGGCCTTCCTGTCGAACCGCTCTTTTCGATATCGAGTTGAAAGCACCCTCTCCACAAGCCGCTGCCTCACGGCCGGCGTACCACAAGGCTCCTGCCTCTCACCTTTGCTCTTTACGCTCTACACGAGCGATATACCTAAAGACCCCCACGTCAATCTCGCGCTTTTCGCGGATGACACGGCGCTCTTTTATTCAGACCGCAACCTTAGACCAACTAACCGCTCGGCTCCAAAGCGCTGCCGACCGCCTCGGCGATTGGTTCCGCAAATGGAGAATAGAAATAAATCCCGAAAAGACTGTGGCGATTCACTTCACACGAAGTACTTACCCGTCACATCTTTATAATGGCCCTCGTCAATGCAGAAAGTTGGGGCAAATATCCCTTTATGGCCAACCGCTCCCCTGGGAGAAAAAGGTCAAATACTTAGGAGTCACTTTCGACTCGTGTATGTCATTTACTACGCACATTAATAACGTTCGCAATAGAGCCGCGTTCGTCTCCGGCCGGCTACACAATTTAACTAACGCTAAAAGTAAAATGCCCTTAAGGCACAAATTATTATTATATAAGACCTGCGTACGACCTATTATGTCTTACGCATGCATGACCTTCGCCCACACGCACCCTACTCGCTTGTACAAGTTGCAAATAGTACAAAATAAGTTCATCCGCCGCGCAACCGGTGCGCAGTGGTATCAACGCAACGTCGACCTGCACAGCGATTGCAGACTCCCGACGATTCGCGAATATTTTAAAGACCTGACCAAACGGTTCTTCGATAGAGCCGAACATCATCCCAACCCTCTGGTGGTAAGCGCAGCAAATTACCAACCCGACCAAAACGCGAACGTCAACAAGCGTCGCCCGCGAAACGTCCTAATCGACCCGGTCGAGGAAGGGGACTTAGACACGCCGGACCCACTGCCGGGGGTCCCGCCGGACAACACTACACCTACAGTTAGTGCAACAACAAACACACTAGTCCGCCCTCGCCTCCGAGCACGGCGAGACCAACACAACGCGTACACAAGATACACCCGCGTTCCGGGGCGGTTCTCACCGCCCCCAGCCACCGATTAGCTAATTGCAGAGTCGATGGCCATCGGGGTTTCGGTCCGAACCACGACCTCGATGGCCCTTAGATGACGTACCATAGTTAAACGCACGCATGAGCACATGCGTGGCCCTACCCACAGTGGAGGGCCCAAACCCGTGGGTTCTGGCTAGCCCACCGGTTCTGCGTCAGATGAAGCTTTAATAGTCTCGGGACTGAAAGCAAAAACATCAATTAATACAAGATACAAGATACAAGCTAGATAATTTTCTATCATCTCTTATATAAAAAAACGAGTGTGTATTTTTACGAATTCGAATCTCTGTCTTTGCTTGTGAAAAAGACATTAAATGCAATTATTTTTAACGATTTAAATAAAAACCTTGAAATTCCAAACCCCTAATAATATTATAAATGTGATTGTATGTTTGTTTTCTTTCACTGCTTTCACGCCAAAACTACTCTTCATGAAACTTTGTAGGTACACATATTCTTACAGGTATTAAAATGCACATAGAATTATTTTATTAAAAAAATATTTAAGGAGTTCCACGCGAGCGAAGTCGCGGGTAACAGCTAGTTATACCATGAAGTTGGTCACTTTGCAACCAACTTCATAGTGTTGCTTTTTGACCGCCGCATTGTAAAAATTTTACTTTCATATTTTTTCCAAACTCAACGAAATAATTATAATTTCAATAAAATATTTCCTTAAAACGTAAGTAAAAATAATTATTTTTTGTCACCATGATAAGTATAGTAAACATTTTAGTCAATATTCAGTAGGATTAGGATTACGTTTTCTCGACTTCCATTTCTGCGCACATGTTTTATAAATAACGTTGGCACGACTCTTCATTCTCACTTAGTTCAACGAAGTCGAAAATTTAGAGCACACTTTTCCACATGAGTAGTAACACACATTTCTTTCACCATGCGTCGCCTTGAATAAATACCACATTGCGTTGGTTCATACTCATTCCGGACTAACAGCGCATTAGATCGTCTTAAAAAAAATTACACTTCTTATGTCTCGATCAACGTATAAAACACTTAACAGTGTAAAAACAAACCAATAACAAAGAAAATGTTAGTAATATTTAAACTATTGATTGTACTGGTATATATATTTTGGTATTAATGATTGACTTTTTCTTCACACAATACTTCACACGTAACACGTTAGATAAATACGGTAGGGACCTAATGAGGCATTTTATATATGTAGATACATTTTGAAGTAAGTTGATACATTCAGCAAGTTTGCCTTGAACCGTTCTTAGCTCATGTAGCTGAGTTTTAAATAGATATAGTTTGAAGAAATAATTTCACAATAGGTAGTAAATTTTCTATCTACCAAAGGCAACAATTTGTTCGAATTTTTCTCTTTTATTGCTATTTACATTATATATTTATTGAAATCGCTGAGAAAATATCCAGAGCTATAATAAAATATAGTTAAAACTTAAGCGTATAACTATGGAGAGATTATACAGGGTGGCTTTTTTAAAGGTGTTCAAATTCACACAGGAGGTTCAGACTCGTTAGTATAATCGTTTATTGAAATAAAAACAAACTTTTTTTTTTTCAAAAAATTGTCTTTCTATTCCCAAAAAAAACAGAACTTGTTGACAATGCGGAAGTCATTAATAAATGCGTCGTATACTTTTGAAACGAAATTGTGTGTGTGTTAGTTATGAATGATCGCGCGTAAAATAAATGAGTTGCCCATAAATCACGCACTTTTTGAGATAACTTTAAATTAATGTAATTAATTAATTACGAGTGGTTTTAAATATTTATTATTTTTTATATAATATTATTTATGTTTAGAATTTAATAAAAAAATGGATACACTTAGAAAAGCCTCCCTGTGGAGTTATTTTCGTTGGAAAGAGTTTTGATTAAATTAACACTTAGAAAATTTTAATGAATATTTACATAGAAAAGTAGTTTCAACAATAATCATTGTTATTCATATTTTATTTCTTTCTTTTATAATTTAATTATTATTATAATTAAATTATAAATGAAAGAAAATACGCGCGGTAAGTAAAGAACTGCTAGATTAAATTTTCCTAACAAGCGAATCGAGATTCAGCACCCAGTCTTTAGGCGTCGTCGGGCGGCTAAAGTCGTGCCCAAAACGCACAGTGTCAGCAGCGCGAAACTTGATAGAATGGCGGGAAAATGATTACATTAAACAAACGAAGTATCAAACGAATAGGTTCTGTAATGTGTAAACGAAATAAAAAATAGTGTTGAATCTTAAAATAATTCAAAATGTTGAAAAAATTTACATGCGTAATGGTAAGTTATAAGTAAATACAATTTTTATTTCGTGTCTGTACGAAACGTGAACAAACTTGTAAATGAATTATAGATTGTGTTTATAATGTGTTATCACGAAAATTTTTATTATTCGATACTATTGTATTAAAAAGATGTCAGTCGTAATTAGGTTTGTTATAAATGTTCTATTTAGGTATATTACAATTATTTCACAATCAGGGATGATAATTTTCAAGGGATAGTTATTGATTTAAAAATAATCTTGGTTTGAGTCAGTCTAAAAGACCAAGTACAACGTATATTTCGGTAAATTTAAAAAATATTAGGAAGTTTACCCCATTAATCATTTTTATGGTAACTGGTAATAGAGAACAGTTTAAAACGTGAAAGCTTTGATCTATCACGCAAGACTCTACCTTGAAACGGGCCGTACTTAGTCATGTTTATTAATTATCTTTCGATTAATTAAAAATACCATAACCGTCAACCAGGACCGTGCATATTGTATTGTTTATTTTAGACAAATGGAAAGTAATTAATTTACTTTAACTGAACGCTGTGAGTAGCATTTTTAGCCATTGTTTCATTCATCGTCTCTACTGGGTTCCGCGTCGTCTTAGCTGAAAATAAAATCTTGTTTAAATGGGGCTCCTTAAAGACTTATAAAAATCCTCAAATAGGATAACGTTGTCCCAGAAAGTCAAAATTGTTATCAAGAAAAAATTATAGTAATGTAGATGTTTACAATTTTAATTTAGTTTTGTTAAGAATCTTAAATTAATAAATATAGTCAAATCTCAACATTCAGACAACAACGAAAGAATAGGGTGAATATGGGCAGCCTCAACGTATTTCGATGATACCGTAGTACTTACCTATATATCTTTTAAAATGTTTGCAGTTTCCGGTAAAAGAGTATCTTCCCCTCTGAACAAATAAACCACACGGACAAACAATCTCGCTGTGAGGAAATTGATCTCAGAAAAGATTGCTTTTCAAATGGTAATAATGTGAAATGATCTCTATTCAAAGCTCACGATGTGTATATATTTTTCTAAAGAAAATTAGATAAATAAAAAGATTAATTTGATGAATTTGCTATCTTCCGTATCAATTTCATGACGGACATCATATTATTATGTGCATTCGGCGCTCACAGTGCTCGTTATGAAAGCCTCGCTTTTAATGTGCAATCGTATCCAGCATTACACCTATAACTGATGCGTGGCTTGCATTACTTTGTCAAATCAACGCAATCCACGCAACAATACATTCACACATTTTACAAGCAAAGGTTGTAAATATTTGCGGCTTAAAGCTTAAATATTTCTATAAAAATGTTTTTAGGTCATATTTAAAAAAGAAGATAATTAAAAATCCTACCAAATTTGATGCTTCCTCGATCAACGGACCCAAGCTGTAAAACTTTAACTGCATCATCTATGATAACTTCATACAAAATGCAATGAAACATTGTTCTTTTTGGCCATGAACATTTAATAAAGAGACAACAATAAGGAGATCTATAATGAAAAGGTTTTATCACAAATATGGCGAAAAAATTGTTGAGAGAAAGCTCTACTTATAGCATATTTACAGATATAAATATTATAATTTCTTAAGATTTTTCTCATTATACTAAATGTATGTACACTCTTCAGGGAAAAATTCATTTATTTTTGAAAACTCAAGTGAATAAAACTATCAGCAGTGGATTCGTCAAGCTTGTTTGCCGTGAATTAATGTAACAATATTATAAAATCAAATCACGAGTTAAAAAATATGTCTAGTCTATTATTATATTATATTTAGCGCTAAAATATTTTTTAAATATATTTCCATATCATAAATACATCTATAGATTTAAAAAGTCACATTTCTGTGCTACGAATCAGTTACCATTTATATAAATTATAAATTAAAATAAGATGGATTTGCAATTATTTCTTAAACATAACACAAGTATAGTAAAACCATTGAAAGAAAAAAATAAACACCTGTCAGTCTGGCTGATGGCGTTAATTGCGAATATAAAATTGAAACATAAAGCTGTTTAATTCCTCTAAACACTTTAGGAGCTAGATTTTACCAATTGTGAACTATAAACTGGCCGTAGCTAATAACAAATAATTTGAGTATATTTTAAACTGAACGAAGAAATAATAAGCATTCTTAATTTTCTTGAGCCGTGATAGCTCAGTGTCCGGGCGCTCTCCTTTTATTCAATATACTTGAGCAACCTGAGTTCGATCCCCGGTGCCGGCACCAATGAAATAGTTAATTTTAAGTGCCGAATTATTATCACGTGCTCTGCGGTGAAGGAGAACATCGTGAGGAAACCTGCATATTTTCGATGTAATAACATAAAAAATATTTGGAGAAATGTGAAGTCCACCAATCCGTAGTGGGGCCGCGTGATGAACTATGCCCTGATACCCTCTGTATAGAGGAGGCCTTTGCCCAGCAGTGGGATATATATAGGCTGACACTTTTATTTTTTTAGTTAATTTTCTAAACTTCATTATAAACCAAGCCTGTGAACTCGATTTTTAACAATATTTTGCCAATTATAGGATTTGTGATTTTGATAAGGCAGCACCCACACTAAAAACTAAAAATGGCAGATTGTTGTTTTGCTTTTATTTTGCTCGTTGCTCAGTTTTTTTTTTTTTGTTTAAATTGTGCTGAGTTAATTTTAGTGAATTTACTGGATCTAGTATTATCACAGAATATGATTACGAAGTGGACCATTTTGTGATTTTGGTGGAAATTGTGTTTTGTGAGAGGCTCCTTTGCGATATTGAAGCTTGTTTTTTTTTAAAGCTGTAAAAGTCGAAATATATTGATAGTATCGTTAAGGAAAATCTGTTACCTAATTTGGTAAACGCTTTTAACTTCGTCATAATAAAATATAACAGCCTTTTAGAATGAATACTCTGTCAGATAGACATGAATAGAATATTTGAGATGTAATATGCTACCCTGTAGGTGCTGGAAACTTCTATGGCGTCATTTGGTTTGTTATAACCTTTTTTTACACAGAGCGCAGTCTATTTTATTATAGATTGTTTTTATTATTATTTAAACTCATAGCACTATTATACGACATAAATTCAAAAACTTTAGACCGAAATATCTTTAATTCCAGTCTTCCTTCAATAAAAATATGTATGTATGGATATATTCAGAACATATAATTGTATATTTTTAAATATTTTTCGTCTTAAGACGCAAAAAAAAATTGTTCAACAGAAATTTGTATGGGAGTTCGCCATTGTCCTTTGTACCATTGCCCACAAATTTCTCTTACAATAAGCATTTGCGTTTGTGAATAATTGTCACGCGTGCAGACGGTTCACCTGATAGTTAAGTGATTGCCACCGCCCATGTGACAGCACTGGTGAGCTTATGCGTTGACAATCTCTTTTTTATGTGAGAAAGTGGCAAACGATCTGGCGGTTCGCCAGATAAGTAATAACCGCCGCCCATGGACATTTGCAACACCCGTAGGATTGCAAATGCGTTGCCACCTTTAAATAAAGTGTGCCCCGGCTACCTCATTCACCAGACGAAACGCAGAAGTGTAACACATCTGCTTTACGCCGGTCTTCTGTGAGGTCGTGGTACTTACCCGGACAAGTCTGCACCTTATTTCAACAGCCGAAGCTACTGAGTGGCCCTACCACAGTTGGTTCCTACGGTAGAAGTGAAACTACAACAAAAAAGTTTCACGTCACTTTTTAACGGAAAGGATAAGCTACATTGTGGTAGAGTTTCACGGCATCTTCTGCTGTTGCATGAATGGATGGTTCGCCTAGGCAAGTATCACGGCCTCATATAAAACCGGTGTACGGTCAAAGTATTTATTTAGGTTAGTATACCAGACAATCCCTTTTAATGGTATACAACGTAGCATCGCCGATGGTATAGAAGTCCATAGGCGTCGCTAATCATTTCAACATCAGATGATAGCACCTATACGTTATGAGACAATTAACGATTATGTACAAATTGACACAGGCTATTTCATAAAAAAAAGTTATCCCATTAAATACTGAGCCAAATTTCAACGGATTTATGCCGATTAATTATTAAGTACTAGCTGCTGCCCGCGACTACGTCTGCGTAGAATAGGCTTAAGGTGTAACATTAAGCAAAAAGACAGATATACATAAAATATGTATATAAATTATAGCATATTATGTCTTATTTTAATTTATAAGCTATATTATTGTAGTTTCATTAGAATCCATTCAGTAGTATTTGCGTGAAAGAGTAACAAACATCCATACGTACAAACTTTTGCCTTTATAATATTAGTAAGGTTAAAACCGACCGAAAAAACTCCACGGACCATTTAACATTGTAAAGGTTTTAGGTAATCTTCAAACAAGAATACAGAACAATTTTAGTTTACATTCTCAGAAATTTAAATTGTTTATAGTGCTAATCTTTGCACTTAAGATTTAACATTAAAATATTTAGATAAAAGACGTTAAGATTTTCGTCGCTGTGGCAATCAGCCGTTTAGCTTAGTGGTTAAAGCGTCAGGCCGCCAATGCCGAAGACGTGGGTTCGATTCACACAGCCGCGACAATCTTTTCGTACTTTTTCTACGCCTATTATTTCTTACCCGATGGGGAATAAAAATTCTCGAATGGCGACCACGAGCCGGAAAAGTCATCCTAAGAGCCGTGGGCAAAACCGCATTGAAGATTTGGATCATGATCTGAACTTTAAAAATAGACCTATCAAAATTTTACACTAATTTTCAGTACCTAATATATAATGATTAATTTAAGTAACTTCTCTGAAAGCGGTGGAAGCAAACAACATAGAGTCGTTCTTTGTGAACTACAGTGAATGTCTTTCGATTGATTATGATGATTATTTCTTTATCAACCAAATGCTTAAATCTTAATTTGTGCGAAAACGAGAAAATGGACGTACGTACTGATTTACAGGATGGCCCGCTTTTCTATAAAACCGTACAAATATCTAACTTAATCTAAATGGTA